CCTGCAGGCAGTTATTTGAAATTATTAACTTTTGAGGCTGATTAACCCATTACACTAGGAGGAAGCACCAAGAGGGGAAAGGATGGTTTCTGTTTGGCTGTTTTACTTTTATTAATTTATTGGGGTGACATTAGTTAATAACATTATATAATTTTGGCTGTTTTAAATTTCCAATACAAAGTTCGTATATTTCGGATCACATTATCAACATGTATGTAGCTAATTATGATAAATTTAATGTCTCATAACAGGATTAAACAACTTGTTTTCAGTTATTCGGGGTATTAAAATATTAAAGTCGTCCTGGCTGGGTGGCTGTTAGGTCTTCCAAAAGGGTATATACCTAGGTTTCAGGTTCGATCTCTGGTGCGTACAGGTTAACATGGTAACCAATCAATGTTTTTTCCTCTCTCCCCCTTCCTAAAACTCAATACAAATATATATTCTCCAGTGAGAATTGTGTGTGTGTGTGTGTGTGTGTGTGTGTGTGTATAAAAGTGTTGTTTTGCAGATTTCTTCGGAAGGAAAAGAAAACTTTTCAGGTATAAAGTTTTCTGCAGTTTAATTCTAAAGTAAAGGGGGTGATGGCAAGTTGGGGAAGGTGTAAGAAATCAGTTAAGAAACAAACAGGAAAACCTGACAGATAAACCTTCATTTATATTTTTGAAACCTGCTTAACTTGGTTTAAAAAGTTTACACGTATTTGACCACAGAACCAGAGTCATCAAACACATTCTGAGAATTGCTAGTCTGGCTGCATTCTACATTTACTAGTCCAGAGTTCTAATAAAATATAAAACAATCTTTATTGTAGTGGGTCCCAAACTTCTAGTGACCATTAAGAGTTCACACACCACCCATTTAATAATTCACTTTTACGTCTTCTCAAGAGTTGTTTTATAATTTGCATAATTTTTAAAAAAAATGTTTAAATATATTTTTTATTTCAGAGGGAGAGGGACAGAAACATCGATGAGAATCATTGATTAACTCACTCCTGTATGCCCCCCACTTGATTGAGCCTGCAACCGGGGCATGTGCTCTTGACTGGTATTGACCCTGGGACCCTTCAGTCTGCAGGCTGAGGCTCTATACAGAGCCAAATCAACTAGGGCCAGAATCTTTATTCCTTTAGAAAAACATGATTTATCTGCCAGTATCTAACCTTTGAGTACCTTAATAATTTTCTTTATAATTTTTCAAGACATAGTAATAGAAACTTAACTTCAAGTTCTTAAATGAAAATTTGGGAGTGGAGGGTGGGAGCAAAGTGGTATTTAAAGCATTTGAAAAAATAAAATACAGACTTTATTACCTCTGGGACTAGCAACTTATATATATATTGATCCTTTCCAATCAGTGGATTGACACAGATGCATACCAGAATTACTTGAGGAATTATTTGAAAATACATGGCACTACTGGGGTTAAAATATGAAGTATATTTTTTTCAAAGAGCTCCCCAGGATTTTGATGCCTATTTCTAGATGAAAATAATTGCTTTGGATAATATGCCCTTCACTGTAATCATTTGTAATAAGGGCAATTTAAATGTTATTTGCAATAAAGATAGTGAAGACCTGTAAGCTTTCAATTTTTTTTTTGCCCGTTTCAGGCCATGGGTCTATGGTAGTTTCCTGAGTACAGTGCACTCTGATTTCCTTAATGGTGATCTGGCTTGTTATAATTAAGATAGAACTACTTTCCCCCAACGTACACATTTCTTTGATTTGATCAACCAATTCTTCCTCTGTGGTTAAAGTTTTGAAGCATTTTCATAATCCCCTTTTCCCTCCCTACAATTAGAAAAACGAAGTCCTACTGGAGTATTTCAGTGCATTTAGATTACACTTCCCAACACAGCCCATTGTTACCTGTGTGTTCTTACCGGTAAACTATACAGTTACATTCACTTCACTAGTCTGTAGCATGCCTCCACAATAATCTCCTCTCTTTTTGTTCTCAAATTATCTATACTTCTTCTAAATATACAGCACATTACCTTATCTTTTAAGGGTTCTGTTTCTTCTAAGTTATTCTACCATATTCCGGTAGCTTCACTCCAACTCTTGATCATATATATGTATATACTGAAATATATCCTTGCCTGGCTAGAGTGGCCCAGTTGGTTGTCATCAATCCATGCATGAAAGGTTACCAGTTCAATTCCTGGTCAGGGCACATATCTGTGCTTCGAGTTTGATCCCGTTGGGGAGTGTAGGAAAGGTGAGGCAAACCAAAAGATGTTACTCTCTCACATTGTTTTTTCTCTTTCTAAGCATGTTCTCGAATGGGAATTTAAAAAATTAAAATATATATAAAATGTTGTTACTCCTGTTCAGCGAACTGTCTGTGACTTTAAGTACAATTTGCAATGTCTGGGAAATTAAAGCTATTTATTTTATGTTATATCTTACAATCTTCACAATTCTTAGTGTGTTTTTTTTGTTTTTTCAAAGAAAAGAATACTGGATTCATTTTGGTGACTTAAAACAAGATATAATTTAGATAATTACTTTACCTTTTCAAATAAAACCACCTACATATAATGGATTAGTAGTTTAAGCACAAGTTACTCTGCTTAACGGATTTAAGTTTATGTGAACTTGAAACAATATCACTAAGTTTTCAGCTGACTTAGCAATAACACCAAAGAAAACGAACTAGTTAAATGCCAACTTTGCTTCTAAACTACCACAAGCTGAGACACATACAAATTTTATGACAAGTAATCTAAAACTCTTCTAAAAATGATTAACTGTTATTCTATCCAACAAGAAAACAAATACAACAGATCTAATTAGTTAAGACACCAGATACTTTGTCATGCAGTTTCAGTGTCTAGTAACAAACCTCTAAACTTTAAAATTCTGTTTCACAACTTCCAAATACTAATGACACATTTTAAAGGCTAATAGCCACTTTAAACTACATATAGAAAGAAGTACCACAGTACAAAATCACCAAGTAAATGTGCATATACAACAAAGATTCTCAAGTTTTGGAGCTCACCCTTGAAGTCTCCAAAAATTTCAATATATACTAGTACATGTAAAACAAAGTCATTAGCATAACTTTTAAAAATAGAATTTTACATGGAGAAATATCAAGTATTTGAATACTCTACCTCTAGAGAAAGCTGACAGGCATCAATCTATATGTTTCATGTCAAAATGTGATTGACTTGTGATGGCACAAAGGACAAGTTATACTTTTAACAAGATTAAGAATGCAAAATGTAACCATCAGAAATTAAAACAAACAAAAGAGCATTTTAGAATAGCTTTTTCAGTAACTTCAAATTCTGATAAAATACAGTGTATTAAAAAAATTAAATTTATGAATTTTGTTTACTGCTATCAGGCATTAAACACTTTCCATTTCTTTTTGTATTACATATTCAGTAAATAATAAGATTAAACTCATTTTTCTTATTTGGGCTATTAGCTCTAGGGCATTTCTAAAAACAAACAAACACCCCCACAAAAAATGTAATCAGAAATTTAAAAATGTTGTGATAGTTCAAAGTAACAAAGCTATAACTAAAAGCACTGATGATCTTCTCTAAACCTACATTTTAAGGTTTCCCTTTATGAGTGGGTCTCAATAGATTTTTTTTAGTTGTTAACACCTCCATCTACCCCAAACACACCCACAGACTTTATTGAATTCAAGAAAATATCCTAAAATGTTGGTCAAAATGCCAGAAATGGCCAGACTAAAGATAAAATAAATGCTGATAAAAAGACCTTCTTTATATTCTCAACTCTTTTTGCTATACATATGTGCATTTTGAAATTCATTTTTAACAAAAATGACTTTTAAAATGTATATATATTTCGAGTCTCAAAGTTAATTCAAAAGAAACGTACAATGCTTCACTCGAAAATAATAGTTTCAGCAGATAATATGCAACATTCCTATATGAGTTGTCAATCTGTCATCAAAACCATCAATTTTAAGAATTTAAAAGGGGAATTCAAGGCAGGGGATTCCCCCCCCCGCATTAAGCAATTGATCAAAAGATACTACTTTCACATGTAAAAATAATTTACACTAAAAAACGCATGTGCAAAGTCTGATACTTTATCAAAATAACAAGAACAAAATGAACAATGAAAAAAAAAAAACCAGCAAAAGCCATTACAAAAAAGTTAATTCCTATTTAAATTGCTGTGTTCTCAGATTTAAAATGTTTATCAATTAACTATATCACTCAGATTGTAGAATATTTTAAGTTATAATATAGAAAGACTATGGGATATTTGAAATTCAAGCTGTACTTATCAAAATAGCTTTAACCTGAGCCTTAGACATCTTCAGAAATGTAGTTGGCAATAATATATGATAAAGTACAGTTATTTAGTATAATTCAAGATTATTCTTTGAATTACTGCTTCTCCTTAAATATTTACGTAAAATTATAAATATTTATTCCATTTTGGAGTTTTCTGGACACAAGGGAATATATGAATTTAAAAAGCTGTTGTTTTTTTCCCTTACTATACAAGCACATAAAGATGTCTTTCTTGTTCAAAATGCCTTAGAGTTCATCTTACTTTTATATTTCAAGTCATTTTAGAACAAATGCAAAAAGGTCAAAAATTATCAGATACTTGAATATTCCCATGAAATATATCACACACACTGAGGAATTTAATACAAATTCACTAAAGAATATCAAATTAATCATGTCCTACTATAAATATTTATTTTGTGTTTTGAAGTTGCAGTTTTCAATACTATTAACAGAAAATACATAACAAATGCTTCCTAACAAGTGAAAAAAATAATTATAAATGCTGGGAAAATTGGCCTCATTAACATATTTACAGACTAACTTAATACGTACTCCATTGGAAATTAATTATATAACATTTATACAAGCATTAACATTTTCAAACCACTCTGAGTAGTGAGCACTTCAGTTCTTTACTGTCTGTACCCAAAGATGAAAAGTCACTGTTTCTCAGGACAACACTGACAAGAATCAGAAATGGTCAATCCGAGATACTGTCGATACTTTGTTCTGTCCCTTCATCCAAAGATGTGTCTGTTGAGTACGGGTCCTGATACTTCTTTTTCTCTTTACTCTGGTTTTCCTGCAGCTTTAGAATTATGTTTTTAATTTCCTCTCTTTTTGTTCTCATTCTTGGGGGAGAGAACCAGTTTGCCAAATTCATAGGTAGTTCAAAATTGATAAGTGGATTCTGAAAATAAAAATGTTAGATGAATATTAGAAAATTATAAAAGTAACAGTAAGTTAAAACACAAAAGCACTTCAAAGTTAAAAATTAAAAATCAACAACTCATTTATTATGTATTCATTCATTATCTATCAACATGCCAGGCATTCTGCTAGGCACAGGAGATAGCTTCTGCCTACAGACGGTAAAGTCTAGATCAGGGGTCGGCAGATTGCGGCCAGTGGGCCAAATTCTGCTTACTGCCTGTTTTTGTAAATAAAGCCTTGTTGGAACACAGTCACACTAACTCATTTACATGTTGTCTATATATGCTTTCTTGCCATAACAGGAGAACTGAGTAGGAACAGACACCATACAGTTGCAAAGCCTAAAATATTACTTAATATCTGGCCCTTTTTAAAAAGGTTTGACGACTCCAGTCTAGACAGACAGATAACAATTAGAACAATGAATATGACAAATATTGTGACGGGAGAATAAGAAAGTCCTATACATATGTGAGGGCTAAACACAATTCCAAAAAGAAGTAATATTTAAGCTAAGACCAGAAGTTAAATGAGTTAGCCAAGTAAGAAATGATAGAAGCAATAGGAAAGAATATTCCAGGTAAAGAACTATGTATCAAGGTCTAGAGATGAGAAAGAACATGACACAATGAGAAACTGAATGACATTCAGGTGGCTGCTATACAGAATTCTAGAGTGGGAATGGTAGGAAATGAGGCTAGGGGCTTGGACAGGAGTTGGATCATGCAAGCCACATGAATTTTCTTTAATCCAAGAGTAACAGGAAGCCATTATAAGATTTAATGTAAGATGACTAGATTTGGGCTTCTGGAAAACAACTGTAAAAACAGAAGGTAGGTGGTAGTAGTTTAGAATAGTGATGCTAGTGTACTGAACTTCAAAAGTGGCATCGGAAATAAAGAATTGAATATATTTAACATGAAGTGATAACATTAATGGTACACTGAATAGTGAATTAAAAAAAGGAAGGAGTCAATATATCTGTAAAGAATTCCCAAGAGAAATATGCATGAGTGTTATTGCATCTCTTAGGTCAAAGGAAGAGTGTCATGAGGAATAGTCAGTGTCAAATAGTGCTTAGAGGTCATGAACAATTTCAATATAAAGAATGAGGCCCTAACTGGTTTGACTCAGTGGATAGAGTGTCGGCCTGTGGACTCAAGAAGCCTAGGTTCGATCCAAGTCAAGGACAGGTACCTTGGTTGCGGGCACATACCCAGTAGGGAGTGTGCAGGAGGCAGCTGATCGATGTTTCTCTCTCATCAATGTTTCTAGCTCTCTATCCCTCTCCCTTCCTCTCTGTAAAAAATCACTAAGATACATAAAAAAAAAATATATATATATATATATGTATGGTGTGTGTGTGTGTGTGTGTGTGTGTGTGTGTGTGTATATATATATATATATATAAAGAATGAGGATGAAGCCAGACTACAGAGATTTGAGAAGTAGAATTTGTGGAAATGAAGACAGTGAATATAAACACATCTCCAGAAATATATCTGTTAAGAGGCAAAAAGAGAGTGAAAAGGGCAATTCGCATCATGGGAAAGATTTCTTAAGGTAGAGCCAGGGGTAAAGGGGAGTTGATTAGTGAGGAGGAATGAGGTCACAAGGCTTGGATGTGATGAAATATATAACATGTCTTAAAAATTCTCCAATTTGGAAGTTTTTTGTTCTTTGGAATAATTTTTGAAGTGATAGTTTTTTAAACTCTTCAAAATATTTACTTAGTTATTTTATAACAACTTAAGACCCAAAACAGTATTTTATTATGTATTATCTCATAACCAACATTTTGAAACCCACCTCAAAAAAGCTCTCTACATACTGCAATACATATACACCACAATCACTGAAGTTATTTTGTTGGGGTACTTTTGGATTAGAGCCTTTCATGACATCTTTGGAAAAACTTCTTTTGGTTCCTTTTTTAACTTCCCATTCCACTTCCAAATACCTATAATAATGAATATGGAGTAAGAATATACATATAAATATACATATACTAGTGACTCGATGCAAGAAATTCATGCACATTAAAAAAGAATTAGGGGAAATATTTTAATATTGCCATCTGCCCTTTCTCTATAATAGAAGTGTCAAAGTCCCCGCCTACCTACCCACCTGTGCCTTGAAATCACATGAGACCTAGACCCGGCCAGCCCCACCCCTCGCCAGCTCCATTCCCCTCAAGCCCTGCCAGTTGGTGGGCATGGCCTCACCTGGCCAGTGCCAGGGTGGGGAGTGCAGTCTGAGGTCCCCAGCCCGGGCCAAGGGGTGCACCTTGAGGTCCCTGTCAAGCCCCACCAGGTGGGGGCGCAGTCTTAAGTCCCCTGGCCCAGGGTGCATGGCCTGAGGTCCCTTGGCCCGGGCACATGCCTTGAGATTCCTGTCAAGCCCAGTCGGGTTGGGGGAGAAGGGGAGAGGAGTGGCAGCCTCAGGTCCCTGTAATTGCTCATTAAGACTCATTACGGGAACTTGGCCTCAGCTGTAGGCAAGGCCATCTTGACCAATACGGCATGATGGTCAATTTGCATGTCCCCTCTTTATTAGATAAGATAGTCTTTTATTTCCAACAGAATACAACAGAAAGTACAGTTCTGAACTTACTCTCTTAGAATTTTTACAACATTTGATCGAGAAGGGCCTCTGAGTGAGTCCATCAGTAGGATACAAGGTCTGCATGGTAGGAAGGACCAAATGTTAACACTTTATAATGTTAAAAAGGCATAAAGAGATGTGCATTAGCAATAAAAATTTAAGACCTTGCATGCCTAAGTAAAAGTTAGGGAGGATGGTGAGACTAAACCTTATAGTCATACATAACCTAATAATATTTAAATACCAAATACCAAAGTAGTAATTTAACCATATTTTAGTTGTCAATATATTTCAATGAAGTTCCATAGTAGGTTTCTAAAAAGACTTCAAAATTTCATAGGAAGTTAAAACTATTCTGAAAATTTGAATACCCCATTTTGAATACCAAAAGCAGCATCCATGTAAAAATAGAAAATAATCCCATTTTTAACTAAAACCTATTACAGATAACAAAACAGGTAATTGTCACATAAAAGAATTAATTTAGAATCCAGAGATTCCACTTTAAATACTAGAAGTTAAGACCCAATCTTCAAAATTTTGTTATAAACCCAAGTAAAGGTAAGGAAGTCTAATATAGTGCAAAATGTCCTAGAATGTTTAAAGATCTAGGTTCTTCCTGGCTAAAATTTTATAGATTTTGGAGATCTCTTAACTGTTCAAGGTCTCTATATTTTTATTTATAAATAAAGTTTGCTTTTCAATAGCTGTTAATGCAGTTTTAGCCAACATTTTCTACAAAAGAAAATAAAAAAAAGAAAAAAAAGAAGCTAAATAGATGGGGTCTACAAATAGACAATACTTTATCACCTAAGAAGTTTGGAGCCCCTAGAGAGATCTCAAAATATACCTTGCATTATTTCTGAAAATCAAAACCAACTCACTCTCTTTTGTGGTGGAAATGTCTGTGTGTGCACACATGCACATATAAAAAGTAGAGGACTAAAATAATTATTCTTTCTCTCCATTTGATCCTTGGACATTACCTATGACCCAGTTTTCCTCAATGAACTCGACAGCCATTGTGACTTTTGCTTAGTACTTGTTTAAATAAAACCGTCTAGCCTGGCTGGTATGGCTCAGTGGTTGAGCATTGACCTATGAACCAGGTCACGGTTTGATTCTGGGTCAGGGCACATGCCCGGATTGCAGGCTCGATCCCCAGTGTGGGGTGTGCAGGAAGCAGCGGATCAATGAGTCTCTCATCACTGATGCTCCCCCCGCCCCCCCATTCCCCTTCTTTTCTGGGGGGGGGGGGGGGGGGGGGAATAAAAAATAAAAAAATTAAACTATCTAGTCATGTGCTATTCTATGAAGGTACATAAGTAAAAATTATGTAAATGTGCAAGATATGTAGTTAATGCTTACTGTTTACAGATAGTAGGCTTTAAATGCCACTGTCCTATTTCTGAATTGCAATTGTCATCGGTGAGGAATCCATCATCACTACTGTCATCCTATAAAAGAGAGCCTATTCTTAGTATGTCAAAAAAATTTCAAGTTAGGTGATCAAACACAAAAAATTGATATGTCACTTGATTCCAATTATCTAGTATCACAAAACTGACATTTTAATGCAAAGAAGCTACAAATCAAAGGAATCTGAAAAACTGTTACTCAATCTAGTATACAGTTTTAAAGACTGGATATATTATGACTGATTCTTCTCTGGTCAAATGCCAATGCTCTGATTTTAGGTATTCTACAAAAGTTAAGTTAGTTGATTAAGATAACTGTTTCATAATAGGACATGAGTAACTTTTAAATATTTCAAGGGTTTTTGGAAACACTGTTTTTCTTAACAAAACCATATATCCATTTCACTTGAGAGAAGACAGCTTAATGACACAGTGTTTTATTTTATAAATTATCTTGCATTTAAAACAAAGCTTATTTTGTTGTAGGATAAAGCTTTTGGCAACCTTACAAATGAAATAAATGAAATAAGAAGCATGAGTGCTTATTATAAACCTAATATGTAATCCAAATATATATCTGTATACGTTTGAGAGAAAAATTGTTTTATAGCCACATATTATAAACATCACAAAAAATGGCTTTGTTCACAAGAGGAGTAAGCAAGAAAGAAAAATTGTGCAATACAAAGCTATCTTCACTACTGAGTAAATTCAGTTTGTCTTAACTAAAAAAAGTTAAAGAATTAAAGAAATAGTATGCTATAGGATTTTTATAAACTTTTCTCTAGATATAAAGCCATTTTTCACCGAAATTATAAAATATTTTAAACAGTATACTTTATTCTTGGTTTTAGTAAAATTTATTGGAGCAAGTGAGGCATTAAATATTAGAATAGACCTATTAGTTTTAACTAAATATTATTTGCGCCTGTCATATATATTAAATTAGACCCCACCAAAAAAAAAATCACTGAAAATGTGGAAGAAGTAATATAATAAAGTTTGTTTAATATAATCAAAATGTTAAACATTTGTCTTTTGAATGTCAAGTTAGACCAACGGTTAGATATGGCCCATAAACAATTTAAAAGAGGAAGAGAAAGGGTGGTAGGACTGACTGGTGGCTGTGTTGATTTGAAATAATTTATTTTCTATTAAAATGGTGGGCATTATTAGGTTTATCCACAATGAGGGTTGGTAGGGGGAGGGAAGTGAATCAAAACTAAAAGAAAATAGCACTAGCACATTTATCCTAGTAACCTCTGAACAGAAAACTTAATTTGTGTTTTAAAATGAAAGTCAAGTCCAGATGCATGGAAGAAACTACCCATAAGACTCCAAAGAAAAATACTTAATTAGGTAAAACATCAGGACTTTTTGTCAAGCAAGCTTCACCTGGTTATCCTGATCTTCTGAAAAGTCAATAAGCTCATCTTCAAGCAGTCTACCAGCTTCAGCTGATTCATCACTATAGTTCAGTCTGATTTTGCTTAAACCATCTGTATTAATAAGAAACATTATGTAATAAAAAAGTACATGCATATCACTTATAGTATAGCATATAGGCTACAGGATATTAGGCAGATAATCAATAAAGGATATAGTAATTAAGGAAAACAAAATTTGCGTTAGCATGTAGGTAGTATCCTAATATAAAATAAATTACTTTTAATTAAACCCTGAATTGACATGTCAATTACAGCAGTTTCAGACCTTAAAATTCATTAAAACTTAAAAACTATGTATCAATTATATGATTAAATATAAATGTATATTTAAATACAAATATGAATGTATATACATACAGATGTATATAAATAAATATTTTAGTGCTAGGTATGTCAGATATATTTAATTATAAAAGCTACAATAGTCAGAAAATAAATGAAATGTCTAATAAGACAGTTATTAAATGGTAGAACATAAAATGAAATACTGTACATTTTAAAAACTAAAATTGAAAATATGAAAAACTGTACAATACAGGATAAAAAAATAAACATGATTAAAATTAAGATAGGCTTGTTTTTGGACAAATAATAAGAGAAAAACAAAAATGAAAATAATCTTCATGTTAGGATAGTTACGGATGAATCCCCCAACTTTGTATATGCTTCCTTCATGTCTGGTTTATATTCATAGACTTTCAATAAAATAAAACACAAACCTAATGTAGATGTTGGTAGTACAAAAATAAATGACTCAAAATGTGCTCCTAAAGACATGTATAAAAATCTAAATATAATCTAAAACACTACTTAAAATAACTAATAAAGTATGAGGATAAATCCTTTAGTTATGCAAAGAATAACTTTTTTAACTCATCTTTTTCATACACTTGTATTTTATGTTTAAAGCCAAAACTAGTTCACATCCTTAAACAATTTAGAATTAGTAAATTACAATCAAGTTATTCTAGAGGCAAACTATTTCTATCTACAAAACTGTCACATGAAGTTTATACAAATTAAACTGTATACGCATTTCAAATGGAATAATTTAACTAGTGTAATCAATTTCTTCAACCATTTCATTCAATAAACAAATGCTCTGATATAAACTGCGAAGTGGTAACTCCATCAGCTGTTCTCTCAATCAGTCCCAGTTCCTGAGAGCTTCTCATAGTAAGATCATTTGAAGATAAGTCTGAGTTTGAGCTTAGAGATTAAACATACACATTTTTCATGTTTCATATAAGACAACTATATTTCATGTGGTGCCCAACTGAAAAAACAGCAAATGAAAGTAGTGATACCACATATTATTTTCCTACAGTTTACCTTAAAAGAACCTAATTCCTGTGATAATATACAATTCCACTTATTTACTATAGCATATTATATGACAATAGACAAGACTTCTGACTGTATATATTTGATACTTAAAATTATATTAAAACTGTCTAAAATGATTCATTAAGTTCTTCCAACTATACTCCCAGTCCAAACAGAAATCAATTACTGAGATATTAATTATGTCAGAAAAAATGTTTTTTTTTTTTAAAAATATATTTTATTGATTTTGTACAGACAGGAAGGGAGAGAGATGGAGAGTTAGAAACATCGATGAGGGAGAGTCATCAATCAGCTGCCTCTTGCACACTCCCTACTGGGGATGTGCCCGAAACCAAGATACATGCCCTTGACCGGAATCAAACCCGGGACCTTTCAGTCCCCAAGCCGACGCTCTATCCATTTGAGCCAAACCGGTCTCGGCAATGTCAGAAAAAAATTTATAAGCTTTCTGTAACCTAATTTTTAGTGAAGTTTTCATTTATTGTAGGATAGACTGCTTAACCATCCTCCCTGAGGTCGTAGTAAAGTTACCTCTAGAGAAACTGTTCTTTAATGTGCTTCTTAGTGAATGATCCCTTTGAAGCATCTGATGAAAGCTATGGGACCTCATTCTTGAAAATTGCACACACACCTATTTTAGGGCACCATATTTTTTTTTTCAAACTGTGGGACACTACCACTATTAGATTAACTCAAGAGAATAGAAAATATCAGTGTATCATACACAATAAAGATAAATTAACTTTCTTTAAGAAAGATATTATACACATACTAAAAAAAAGCAAAAACAAATACAAAATGCACAAACAATAATAAAAAAGAATACTTTGAATAAATATTGAAAGGTAAATTACGTAAAACAAGATTATTTCTACTGCGGTCTCCATTATCATTTGTGAGAATATTTATTCAACTTTAACTGATACTACAACTTTAAAGACTAGAACATTTTATAGGAAATTTATTGTATTCAAGATAGTCATTGCATAGTCTTATACCTGTAAGGCCACTAGGAATTTCTGGAGTTTGTGTATATGAAGCCCTAGGTTTCTGTCTCATTGCTTAGTTTTTAAATCATGCACTTTAATTCATTTTTAATTTGAATTCACATTAAAATGGATGAAATTACTGATCAAAGGGGAACTTAAAATAGTTCAATGAAGATATAATTCACATATCTTTCTCCTTTTCTTATCTCCAAAGGGGCACATAGATAAAAACTCTAGTGCTATTATTAGCTTTATGCAGCTTAGTATGTCAAATTAAATAAAAAGGCCTCAGCAATAGCTTTCTTCTGACTTACTAAAATAAGCTGGTAAAAATACTAAGAGGATGCTCAGCATTCACAACTTTTGATAGGTTCTTTCTGAATTTACATACATTTTTCTATGCTTTATACTGACCTTTTTCCTCTAAAAATATATATTAGGATCTACTCACAGTTTAATTAAAGTGTATAAGGTACACACTATAGCACTTTATGGATTTAATGGAGTAGACTTTTTTTTACCATGAGGTTGGAAAGAAAATTATACAATTGATTTCACATGGAATTTAAGTATTTAACAGAAATTTCAGATTTCCATAACAAGTGTTAGAAATATGGAATAGATTCAAGAAAAAACAAATTATTAAAATTGAAGGGAAATAAAAACAGGTTGGACCAATGCCCTTCTTCTTAGTGAAAAAATGAAGGAGAGTGAGAATAAGGAACTAACCTTTAATTTTAACGCCAACAACTATTTTGGAGAAAAACCTTTAATTTCTACTTCTGGCCACTTGCTTTCCAATTTCCTATCTATAAAGTGAGTAGACTGAACTAATTCACCTTACAGGTATAAGACTATGCAATAACTATCTTGAATACAATGAATATCCTATAAAATGAAAATAAATCCAAGATCTTAGCTCACTGAACTATACTTATAAAATGATGAAATGTTCCTGTAGGTAAATTATATTTCAGTAAATCTGACTTTTAATAAAAAGTGTACCCAGAAATCTTAATCCTGTTTATATGCAATCCAATTTACTCTGAATTCCTTAATTTTTTCAAAACATTTAGAAACATACCTGTATGGTGCACAGAACTTAAATATTCATTCTGTAGGCCATTCTCACTATTAATCCTATCAACAATTGACTGGCGTGCAGATTCTCCATTATTTGATTCTTCATTTTCACTTGCAGTATGATTTATGTTTTGCAGACTGCCTATGTTTCTCCGATAATGAGGGTCACTTTCTTCCTGTTCAGCACTTGAATCATTTACAGCTGTGCAATGCTTTTTGTTTAACATCTTCTTAAATATAGGCTTGGCAGAAGAGTTTTGTGAACTACTTTCCATTTCACTGGTTGAAGGAGTAGGAATACAACTATCCTCTACAGTTGAACATGTTTGCATGGCTGTATTTTCATGGTAATGAGGATTAGGTTCAAACTTTGGTTTGTCCAAACCAGGGAAACAAACAACAGCCAAAAACCAATGTGCACTGTAAAAAACAAATGAAACTACTAAATATATTATTAGAAAAGTTATATTTGGCAATAAATATCAATTGAAATGCTTCTCTAAAGCTTTTCTGAAGACATTTATTAAGAATGCCCAATTTTTTCAACCTAAGTTTTGTAGCCCATATTCACTTCTGCGAAAAATCCTTTAAACCTTTTCTTATTTGTGGAATAAAATTTTTTAACTTTTCAGGTAATTTAACAAAATACAAATAATATCTATGTCAATACATCATCCCCATTCACTTTCCCTTTGCTTTATTTATGTAAAATGATAGAAACCTATTTAGTCTTAAGATTATAATGTCTTCAGAAGTCTAATCAGACGGTATAATTTTGAACATTTTCTAATTATACATATTTATAGCTTTTTAAAAACTTTAACCATGTCTGTGTTTCTCTTATTAACAAGGTAGGAATTGCTTAACATTGAAAGTATCAAATAATCCTTTGTCTCATGCTATATTAAAATGTAAATACACTAAAATGAAATAATTTATCTAATGTAATGATTATAAAAGAACTGAAAATACTAGTAGAGTCCAGGTGTCAAGTGGGTGCTCATGATATAGCTGAATTCAGGTACCACAGGTCCCAACAGTAGGATATAAAACATGAATAAGAAGCTATACAGCTAATATTGATTAATAGTCATTAATCTAATGAAGAATTTTATTAAGGGCTTACTATATGCTAGGCAGTATTACATGCTAAATTAAAAGGAGCAGGCCATAGATATTAGAGAACTTACTAGCCTGAGCACAATATTTGTAATATAGGAAGATGTTCAATAGGTCTTTTTTTTTTTTTAATGTATATTATTGATTTTTTTTTTTTTTACAGAGAGGAAGAAAGAGGACAGAGAGTCAGAAACATTGATGAGAGAGAGACATCGATCAGCTGCCTCCTGCATACCCCCACTGGGGATGTGCCCGCAACCAAGGCACATGCCCTTGACCGGAATCAAACCTGGGACCCTTGACCACTGAACCCGGGACCCCTCAGTCCGCAGGCCGACGCTCTATCCACTGAGCCAAACCTGTTTCAGCCAATAGGTCTTTTTTGATTGAAAAAATAAATCTAGTGATGAGGATAAAAGTTATGCTACATTCTCATTTCTACAAAATGTTAAATTAACCCAAGGCAATACTAAAAAACAGCGCTGTCTCATGATTGGACAGCCTAAGTATCGATAGAAAGATCAGAGGTTGGCTTCATCCTCAGTATTATAAAGGACAGGTGGAGGAGTGCTTCTCTCCTTAATTATTAATCCTCAGTATGCTGTGGACTTAGGTCAGGCTAGGGTGGTAAAAATAGCAGTACACCAACTTTCTCACTTCAACTTTAAGACTCAGATAATATATGTCACATCTGAATTTCAGAAATATTAAAATATGAAAAAACGTGTTTTAAAGTTGATTAAATATAGTGTAATACAATGACTCTCAACCTATAGTAGTAACCTAAGTTTATCACTATTGTTTTTAAAAAAATATATTTTATTGTTTTTTTACAGAGAGGAAGGGAGAAACATTACCAGCTGCCTTTTGCACATCCCCTACTGGGGATGTGCTTGCAACCAATGTACATGCCCTTGATCGGAATCGAACCTGGGACCTTTCAGTCCGCAGACCAACGCCCTATCCACTGAGCTAAACCAGTTTTGCCTTTATCACTGTTTTTAACATTTCTCAGTTATGACAATGTGAATATAAGCTATAAATTTTCTAATGCCTCAATGAAAAACTAGGAAAATTCTTTCTTCACCTAGCTGAAGGAAGAAAGTGGAAACACCTGAGATCACTTTCAACCTCTAAGAGCCAGGATTTTGCTTTTATGATCCTTTTAATAATAGCAGCTACATTGAGCTTAAATCACCAATAAATTGGACATATCTGAAGATAGATTAAATCCAAATATCAAATTTCTGCCTCTTGTGCAATTACTGTGGCAATTTTTAACAAATAGCTTTTACTTGGTTAAGAAATTAACACCATCAGGAAAATTGAAAATAAAACAGATGACAAATATATGGCAGTCTATGTAATATTATCAGAGTATATAAATACTATGGTGTACCTCTTAAAAATAAAACGAGCCGAAACCGGTTTGGCTCAGTAGATAAGAGTGTTGGCCTGCAGTCTCAAGGATCACAGGTTCAATTCCAGTCAAGGGCACGTACCTTGGTTGTGGGCACATCCCCAGTAGGGGATGTGCAAGAGGCAGCTGATCAATGATTCTCTCTCATCGATGTTTTTAACTCTCTATCCCTCTCCCTTCCTCTCTGTAAAAAAAAAAAAAAAAAAATCAATAAAATATATTTTAAAAATATATTAAAATAAAATAATACGAGCCCTAGCTGGTTTGGCTCAGTGGATAGAGCATCGGCCAGATGAGGAGTCCCAGGTTCGATTTCGGTCAAGGCACATGCCTGGGTTGCAGGCTCGGTCCCCAGTGGAGGAGTCCAGGGGCAGCTGATCCATGATGTTCTCTCATCATTGATGTTTCTATCATCTCTCTCTCTCTCCCTCTCTGAAATCAATAAAAATGTATGTTTTAAAAAAATAAATGAAACAAAATGCACTCTCATGAATTAGGGCTATTCTTCCATCCACAAATGGCATAGTACTCTTGCAGAATCATTTTCTGGTTCCACATCTTTATTCATTCTCTACTTTTCACCAAAATTATTGGAAGCACTGATCATAGTTTCTATCCACAACAGACAGAGTGATTAAGAAGGATGTGCCTCTGTTGCTAAATTGTGTGTACTTCAAATTATATTTCTATTTAAAATTTTTATAATTCATTTCTGACAATTTTTATGTACACTGAGTGGCCAGATTATGATGATCTCTGAAAGCATAATAATCTGGCCACTCAGTGTACTTCTCTTGAGCACCTCATTTATTTGATACCAAAGATACTATAAGTCATGCACCTGATCAGTTTTCCCCTTTGCACTGGCTGGTAGAAAGCTCAGGGTAAGTAGGTGGTTGATCTCCAGCAGAAGTCTAGAATACTTTTTTTTTTTTTTTTTTTTTTAAATATATTTTTATTGATTTTTCACAGAGAGGAAGAGAGAGGGATAGAGAGCTAGAAACGTCGATTAGAGAGAATCATCGACCAGCTGCCTCTTGCACACCCCCCACTGGGGATGTGCCCGCAACCAAGGTACATGCCCTTGACCGGAATCGAACCCGGGACCTTTCAGTCCGCAGACCGACGCTCTACCACTGAGCCAAACCGGTGCCGGCTAGAATACTTTTGGTATCTATTTGAGATACAAAGACACAGAGTGGCCAGATTACTATGTGTTCAGAGATCATAATAATCTGGCCACTCAGTGTATATTTTCCATTTCACCTATTAGGCAGCTTACATATTATTTTATATAACCAATATATGGCAAGGAACTTTGAAAAGAATGTACTGAAGATTAATTTTAAACTGACTATATAGATGTGTGTGTGTGTGTGTGCGCACACACACTAATAAAAGAGAAAAATGCTAAATGACCGTACCTTTGCTATGCCCACAGCCAACCAGAGTGAGTATGCAAATTAACCCAACAAGATGAGGTTAATTTGCATAAGCAGGTGGGAGTGGTGTGAAGTCTGCTATGAGGGGAAGGGGGGCAGCGGAGGGAGCTACTGGAGTGGTGCTCCAGACAGAAGTGAGGACTCGCTGGCTCTGGGCAGCCCAGGAGAAGGGATGTGCCAGCTCCAGGCAGCCAGGGAGCTGGGACTTGCCAGTTCTGACAGAAACAGCGACTTGCAGGCTCTGGGTGGCCCAGGAACGGGGACATGCAGGCTCCGGGTGGCTGGGGTGAGGAGTGGGGACTTGCTGGCTCCCGGGTGGCTAGGAATGAAGCCAGGGGCCTATTCTTCCACGAATATTGTGCAATGGGTCTCGTGTGTGTGTGTGTGTGTGTGTGTGTGTGTGTGTGTGTATTTTAAAGTTGAGCTTCATTGCCATAACCAATATTTGACCTAGTCTACACCTATCTTTGGCTGAACTGATGAGAGAACACAAATGTTACAATTAAAGCAGGGTTTTAAATAAACACAGCTTGATTATACTGTACAGTGAATATGTTCTTCATAATGAGAAAAAAAATATTCAGAAGTTAGTCTGAGACAGTTAAGCTTAGTAGATATAAACAATCTCACAGAACACTAACCTCAGACAAGGCTATTCTGCAACCATAGTAAAATGAGGCAAAGCAAGGCCATTGCATAATTTGTCTAAGCAGTGACAAACAAGGTAATAAAACCAACCCTCTAAATATCAAAATCCCCTTTTTTGCTTACTAAATGAATGCTACTTCTTTACCCAAGCAAACCACTGCTTCCTTAGATCTTTCTCTAAATCACTAAACTAAAGCCCAAATTTTGTTATAGACTCTTTCAAACACACTTTCACTGAGAAGCTCCATGGTTGTCTATGGTATGTGTTCTCTTTTGATGTAAGTAATAAACCCAAAATTATCCAACTACAGGTGTATTCCTGGGGATCTTTGACTGCAGAGCATATGAAAACAATAACAAAAAAAGAAATACAAACAAACTTAAGTCTAAATTGTATAATAATTAAGGTGACCAGATTTTTAACAATTTGTCCCGCATCCCGCAGTGTTTTAAAAAAGTCCCGATTTTTGGAAAGAATCTTTTAAATCTTTTGGACTTTTTTTTTTTTTTTTTTAAATATATATTTTATTGATTTTGTACAGAGAGGAAGGGAGAGAGATAGAGAGTTAGAAAACATCGATGAGAGAGTCATCAATCAGCTGCCTCTTGCACACCCCCTACTGGGGATGTGCCCGCAACCAAGGTACATGCCCTGGACCAGAATCGAACCTGGGACCTTTCAGTCCCCAGGCCGACGCTCTATCCATTGAGCCAAACGGGTCTCGGGTCTTCTGGACTTTTTTAAAATGCCACGGGACGCGGGACAAATTGTTAAAAATTGGGACTGTCCTGTAAAAAGCGGGACGTCTGGTCACCTTAATACTACTATCAATGCCTCTTCAGGGGGAAAATAACACAAATGTTTAACTACCCCCTTTTAACTTAGAAAATTACTTTGAGTAGTCAGCATGGCTTTCAACTTGAGAAAACGACAAAAATCTAGCTAGCCACCTTTTCTTCTTTTTCTTGGTTAAGAGCCTAAATGTGTTTTAAACTAAGAATTCAAATTCTTCTATGGGACCTAATCATCTTTCTGTATAAAGTAGCCTTTTCTTTTCTTTTTTTGAACATATTTTTATTGATTTCAGAGAGAGGAAGATAGAAACATTAATGATTAGAAATAATGGTTGATCGGCTGCCTTCTGTACGCCCTGCACTGGGGGTGAGATCAAGCCTACAACCAACCCAGACATGTCTTGACCAGAATCGAACCTGTGATCATTCAGCCCATATACCAACACTCTATCTGCTGAGCAAAACCGGCTAGGGCAAAGTAGCTTTTTCTATACAATGTTTGCCAGACCACAAGCAGCACCATTTTAAAAATTAACATTATTCTACATTGACCAATAAAAAAAAAATTAGAAATATCTTATCTAGGATTTTTAAAATTCAGTATATTATATGATTTACTGGAAAGCTGCATCAATTACCATTAAAAAAGCAATATAAGTATAGATATACAGAAGAAATTTCAAGTAGTTTAAAGAGGATGAAATCTCCACATCTTAACACATTTTCTAAAAATTGCCACATTTACAGAAAGGGAATTTTTACTCACGCTTCATTAAGGGGTACAAAAATAAAATCCTTCTCAAAAATATCTACATGTCGGGTCCATGTTTTTACTCTCGCATGCCGCCTTTGCTGTATTCTGTAAGACAAGAGATAGACTATTAAGTTTCTGAAATGTTCCTAATGCTTCAGCTTATATGCAACAATTTATAAATTTATAAGATGTTAACAGAACAGTTGTAAAAGATGATTTAACAAATCGGGGAAAGAAAATGAAACAAAGGTGTGAAACTGCCCATCACTGAATCTGGAAAAAAAGAGATATTTAATTCCTACTATTATACTATATACTAGTGTAAATCAATGCTATTATTGGTTTATTAATGGCATAAGTAATCAGATTGAGAAGCAAATCAGACCATGACCAATGAGAACAGCAGAAAAAAGAGCAAGAAAAGTGAGCATTATCTTACCGTAGATAAAGAATACACTATGACCACTGGTCAAAACCAATCACTATCAACTCAAAGATGAAAATTAAAAATAATTGAACTAGTGGATAAATTTGTATTATCCACACCAACCTTCAATTCAAGCATTTAACAGAACTTATGATAAAAAAACAAACAAAACAAAAACAACAACAAACTCTTCATGTGTATCTTTTGATAAATTACTAAGTAAGTATTAGAGCTGGATGCAATCACTAAATGGAGCATTATAAACAAAAGTACACAGGCCTATCAGGCCTAATAAGAACAGTATTTCCTTAACTTATCTGAAAAGAAATATCCAAAGAACTTATTAAAAGTACAAACTTGCCCTAACCAGTTTTGCTCACTGGATAGAGCGTTGGCCTGTGGATTGAAGGATACCAGGTTGGATTCTGATCAAGGACACGTACCTAGGTTGCAGATTCCTCCCTGGCTTGGGCCCTGGTTAGGGCGAGTGTAGGAGGCAACCAAATGATGTGTTCCCCCCCCCCCCCCCTTTTTAAAAAAATATATTTTATTGATTTTTTTACATAGATGAAGGGAAAAGGATAGAAAGCTAGAAACACTGATGAGAGATACATCAACCAGCTGCCTACTGCACACTCCCTACCGGGGATGTGCCCACAACCAATGTACATGCTCTTGACTGGAATCAAACCTGGGACCCTTCAGTCCACAGACTGACACTCTATCCACTGAGCCAAACTGGTTTCGGCCCAATTGATGTGTTTCTCTTACATCGATATTTCTCTCTGTCTCTCCTTCTCTTTCCCATTCTCTTTAAAATAAATGAAAAAAATATACTCAGGTGAGGATAAATAAAAAAGCACAAATTCGCAGGTTTCTTTCTTAGGTAGTGTGGAACATCTAGGGCAAAAGCAATCCATCCTATCTAAAAGAGGGAATATGCTAAATGATTGCCACGCCCTCAAAGATGGCAGCGCCCAGTCCCCTCAGACCCACCAGGGCAGGTCTAACTGTTTCACGTATTTGCCTCTAGAGTCCCCCAGTCACCTCAGCCCTCCAGCCTCTCAGGACCAGCCCAAAGTGCATGCAAGCCTTGGATGTTGGCTGCCCAGCTGCCAGGGCAGGCCGGAGGTGCAGGTAAGTCTTGGATGGTGGCTGCCCAGCTGCGCAGGGTCACCCAAGGCTCAGGTAGCCAGGGCCAGTTGAGGATTGCACTGCCGGCAGTGGCAGCAGCAGAGGTGTGATGGGGGTGTTGCCTCCCGCCCCTGAGGGTCCCAGACTGTGAGAGGGGGCAGGCCATGCTGAGGGACCCCCTCTCCAGTGCATAAATTTTCATGCACCGTCCCTCTAGCATTTGTTAAGTATCCAAGCAATTTTTAAAAAAACCATCAGGCATATTGGGAAAATACTAAATATTACACCTAACACCTTTATGAATTCTACATATTCTTAAGGCTTTAGAATATTGTGGATATTGATCTACATTTTATACTGATACAATCCAATATTATGATTTTGTTAATAACAAATTATGTTGCCTCAATAAAAATAAGTGATTTAAAAAAAATGTTTTCATTGATGTTAGAGGGAGAGGGGGAGAGACAGAAATATTGATTAGCTGGCTCCTACAGAGGATTGATTCAGCAACCCAGGCATGTGCCCTGACTGGGAATCAAACTGGTGATTTTTTGGTTCATGGGACCCTTTTGGTGCATGGGAGAACTCAACCAGGTATGCCACACTGGCTAGGGCACAAATAAGTGAGTTTTCACTAAGTTAAATTTCAGAAATTATTACATCTGTTCAATATTTTCAAAGAGCTTGACTTACGATAGATGAGTTGTTTCATTGGGATTTCTCCTCTCTCTCTGATTAAGGCGTTTGTAGAAAAAAGAACTGAATATATGAATTCGGTCAGCATCTTCTCTCTTCAGTTTTTCAAGCACCAAATATCTATTTTACAAAAAATAATTCCAATATAATGAATACAGTTTACCTCACACTAACAATAGTCAAGCAGTAATCTATTTAGCCATCATCAATTTCTATTCCTTACAACTAAAAGAAGCAGAGTTGACTTCATATTCTAGATAATAACTACCAGATACTTCTCAAGTAATAAAAAGTATATTTGAGAGGAACATTGTGATTTGAAAGATCTATATAACATTTATAAACATTCATAACATTATTTCTAACAGCCACAAAGTGGAAATGTCAGAAATGCTCATAAACTAATGAATGGAAAATAAAATGTGATATATCTCCATACAATGAAATATATTGAACAAAAAGAAATAAAGCACCGATATCTTAAAAACACTGTGGTAAGTGAAAAAAATTAGCACATGTTGTATAATTCCATGTATATGAAATGTTCAGAATATGCAATCCTCAGACAGAGAAAAGCTAGTGGTTGCCTAAGCTGGAACTGGAGTTGAAGGAAAATGAGGAATCACTGCTAATGGTTATTGGGGCTCTTTGGGTGGATGAAAATATTATAATACTGCCTGTGATGATGATTGCACAAATGTCTAAATATACTAAAACCACTGAATTGCACACCTTAAACGAGTGAATTGTATATTATGTACATTATATCTTAATATACCTATTGTTTTTATGTACTGCTTATTTTAAATAGCTTATTTTAAAAACCTAATCATATATTACTTTTTTAAAAAAACAACAGAAAATAAATAGAAAGAACTTATTCAGTGTTAAGGTTGCAACAATGAATTATTTAAAAAAAAAAAAAAAATATATATATATATATATATATATATATATATATATATATATATTATTGATTTTTTTTACAGAGAGGAAGGGAGAGGAATAGAGAGTTAGAAACATCGATCAGCTGCCTCCTGCATACCCTTACAGGGGATGTACCCATAACCAAGGTATATGCCCTTAACTGAATTGAACCTGGGACCTTTTAGTCGGCAGGCCAATGCTGTATCCTCTGAGCCAAACATTTAATAAATGAATTATTAAAGCAGTCTTATATTGGTTCTAATTCTCCCTTGCCTTAGTTGTTTCTTCTTTAGGTCTACCTCAAAAACAAATAGCGATGGTTCCTTGATATCCAAAAAAAATGATATATTAAATTTGTTTATGTTAAAATCCTCAAAGGAACTATGCAAAATAAAACTAATGACCATTTGGATTTTACTAAAATGAGGATAATAAAAAGCCTTGTGAAATCTTACACAGAAACAGCAAATGTCCCAAGGGCACACCTAGAGATAAGTCCCTTAGCATAACATGATCATTTTGAAGCTCAAGATCTGATTAAAAGGATCCAATTACAAAATTTCTTGCTTTAGAGCAACTCAGTGTGCCCCGACAAAGGAAATTATAAGACAGTGAATCATCTCATGACAATGTAAATCAATCACTGAATTTTACAATAACATACAATAGAGCATGTAGTGAATTAGATTTGAGTTTAGGGGTTATATCATAATTGGTGAACCATGCAGCTTTCACCAGCCCAAACATCAATGGCTGCTCTGTAAAAGTGAGTCAAATAAACAGAGGGAGATACTTCAACTTAAAAAAGTCATGTGTGTTTAAGAAAACTGACTCTAACTTCATATGTAAATAAATCCATGCTTTGTAAAGTGTTTGTCTTTCTGACGTACCATACATCCACTGGTATTTCTGTGACTATATATAGCTTTTCTAAATGTACAATGTACAAATGTCAGAACTATTAACTTTAATTAGAAAAGCCATGTCTCTTATTATAGAACTATTGGCCTAGTGCATGAAATTAATGCACAAGGAGAGGGGTGTCCCTCAGCCAGGCCTGCACCCTCTCCAATCTGAGACCCTTTGGGGGATGTCTGACAGTTGGACATCCCTCTCACAATCCGGGACCACTGGCTCCTAACCGCTCTCCTGCTGCCTGATCATCCCTAACCACTCTGCCTGCCGGCCTGCTCGCCCCCAACTGCCCAACCCTATAAACCTGCTCACCTCCAACTTCCACCCCTGCTGACCTGCTCACCCGCAACTGGCCCCTTGCTGGCCTGCTTGCCCCCAACTGCTCCCCGCCCACGGCCTACTCGCCCCCTATTTTCCCCCACCGCCAGTCTGATCACCCCCAACTGCCCTCCCCGCCTGGCTGGATCGCCCCTAACCATCTCTGCCTCAGCACTGCCACCATGGCTTTGTCTGGAAGGTCTTCCAGTCTTATGAGCATATCACCCTTTTATTAGTATAGATTAAAGGGAAATTTTATTACAAAAATCAATTCATCCATTTGGGTACATTTTTTTCTTTCTGTATAAATCATTTAAATATTGAATGTCATGGTAAAGCTGTCCACTTGGCATTTCATAAAGTGAACATTCTAACAATCAAATAATGACTTAACTGTAGGATGAAGTGAAAAGATTATTTTAAGGTTACTCTGCTAGTCTGTTAATATGTGTCTTTGAAAGTACTTTTTATTAAAGTAATTCTTTTCTTCTCTGCATTTTATTAACATTCTTTAGATGCAATGCCTTTTTAATTATTATAATACTGACAAACTTTAGAAGTTTATTTCTAATTCATAGAGTTAGAAAAGAATGAAAAGCTTTGATAACAGCCAAATAACTGATTTTAATAGTTAAGTTTTAAAAAAAGTTTCCTTTTAAAATTCACTTCTAGGAATGTCACAACTGTGGCTCAGTGGCTGAGCATTGACCTATGAACCAAGAGGTTGATGCTCAATCCCACTGGGGATTGAGCCCACAATACATGCCAGGTTTGTGGGCTCAATCCCCAGTGGAAGGCATACATGAGGCAGCTGATCAATGACTCTTATCATTTATGTTTTATCTCCCTCTCCTTTCCTCTCTGAAATAAATCATACACTTTGAATAATTTATAAAGGCAGTGTTTATTAAAATACATTTCATTTTCAAAATTGTGCTATGAGCTATTAAAGTGTATACACATTTTTTTGGACACCTATATACAATTTTTCTTTTTAAATCACAGCTTTTGTTAGAATTTTATTTGGAATAACAATTTACATCAGAAAAGATAGAACTTGTAGATAATTTAGTGTATAAAAATCTGTTTTAAAGTATAACTAGAAAATGTTAAGGGGTCCCCTAAAAATATAAACAATTTCAAGAGTATAAACAAATTACTATAAAATGTTTACTGTAGTGTAAATTATCCTATCTAATAAAAGAGTAATATGCAGATTGACCATCACTCCAACACACAAGATCAAGATAGCTGCCCTCATGTGGTCAAAGATTCTGCCCCCATGTGGACACAAGATGGCCACCACAAGATGACCAGCAGGGGAGGGACCAGGCCTTCAAGGGAGGGCAGTTGGGGGTGATCAGGCAAGCAAGGGGGGGCAGTTGGGAAAACACCAGGTCTGCAAGGGATGGCAGTAGGGGGTGATCAACCCTGCAGGAGAGAGCAGTTAGGGGTGACTAGGCTGGCAGAGGAGGGAAGTTGGGGGCAAACAGGCTGGCAAGGGAGCAGTTAGACATCAATCAGGCTGGCATGGGAGTGGTGAGGGGGTGATCAGGCTGGCAGGCAGAAGCAGTTAGGTGCCAGTAGTCCTGGATTGTGAAAGGGCAGTCAGACATCCCTTGAGAGGTCCCAGATTGGAGAGGGTACAGGCCAGGCTAAGGAACACCCCACTCCCCACCGTGCACCAGACCTCTAGTATATTATATATGCATGAAATAGAATAAACTAAAATATAAACAAAATATTAGGAGTTTCACTTAGTTTTTCAATCCACCTATAAGCTTTCAAGAACAGAAACATTTTAAATAAAAAGACTTAAGCAGGTCAAAAGTAGACTAGTAAAGAAATAGGTAGCATGTAAACATAATCCGAAAGAAAGTTGGAATAGCTACATTGATTTTGAACCAAGTGGATTTAACAACAAAGAAGATTATCAAGGATAAAGAGACATTACATAATAAAGGGATCAACCTCTGAGAAGATTTAAACATGTATGTGCCTAATAACAGAGCTTCAAAATACGTAAGGCAAAAACTGATAGATCTAAAAGGAGAAACTGACAAATCCATAATTAAAACTGGAAATAACCTTTTCAATAACTGATAGAATAGGTACATAGAAAATCAGTTAAGGACAAAGATGAGTCCAATATCAAACAACTTGACCCAATTGACATCTACATAATGGAACACTACACTGCTGTGAAAAAGGAAAGTCATCCTACCATTTTTAACAGCATGGATGGAGCTAGAGAGCATTATGCTAAGTGAAATAAGTCAGTCAGAGAAAGATAAATAACACATGATCACACTCATTTATGGAATTAATGAACAACATAAATTGATGAACAAAAACAGATCCAGAGACAGAGAAGCATCAGATGCTCAAACCTCAGAGGGAAGACAGGGGTAGGTGGGGGTAAGGGAGAGAGATGAACCAAAGGACTTGTATGCATGCATATAAGCCTAATGAATGGACACAGACACCAGGGGGATGAGGGCTTGAGTCGGGGTTAAGGGTGGGGGACAATGGGGGGATAAGGACACATATGTAATACCTTAATCAATAAAGAAAAAAAAAAAAGAACATTCCTTTAAATTATGGAAAAATACGTAAAATGTGCAATCTTAACCATTTTTAAGTGTGCAGTTCAGAGGTGTTCAGTATTGTTGTAAAAAAGATCTTTTTTAACTTGCAAACTGAAACTCTATACCCAATAAATAACAATTCCTTGCTCCAGGTAACCACCATTTTTACTTTCATGTTCTATGAACTTGTCTACAAATTATCTAAGTGAAAATATATCGTACTTGTCTTTTTGTGACTGGCTTAGTTCACGTTTCATGTCTTCCAGATTCACCCGTGTTGTAGCATGTGACAGGTTTCTTTTTTTTTATTTTTATTTAAACCCTCACCTGAGGATATGCATTATTTGTTATTTTGTGTGTTGCATGTATGAGAGAGATACATCAATCATTGATGTGAGGAACATTGATTGGCCGTCTCCTGTACGCACCCTGACCAGGTATCTAACCCGAAATCCAGATATGTGCCAAGTGGTAATCAAACCCACAACCTTTTGGTGTATGGGACAACATTCTAATCAACTGAACTATTTTTTGTTTATCACCCATCCATCAATGGACAGTTTGGGTTATTTCCACCTCTTGACTATTATATTATGAATAGTGCTATGGATGCGCAAAAATCTCTTTGAAACATAACTCTCAATTCTTTTGGATATACACATGGAAATGGGATTGTTAGATCACTTGATAGGGTGCCATTTGTCCACATTTTTCTCCGTGTGTGTGTGTGTGTGTGTGTGTGTGTGTGTGTATGTGTGTGTGTGTGTTTTCAGTTGCCATCCTAATGGGTGTGAGGCGACACCTCATTCTGGTTTTGAATTTTCTTTAATGACTAATAATGCCAAGGATCTTTTCATATGCTTATTGGATATTGGTATGAGATAACATTTTTTGATTTTGCTTAAGAGCTTTGTTTGAACTTGTCATTGGATGACTGATCTGCAAAATTAGGCATTTAAAATCTAGGACAGTTTCTCTTGTCAGCAAATCTGTAACACACAACTTACTGAAACATATTCCATTACCATTAACTTTTCAAAAAAAAAACACAAAAAACGGTATCTTTGATAATGAGGGGGGTATAGTTAACATAAATAGAAGTATAATATTATCCCCTAATGTTAGGTAAAGCCTACTGGTGTTGCATTCTTCTGTATCCTTTTTGATTTTGTCTAGTTGTTCTATCAAATTGTTGAGAGAGGAGAATTAAAGTCTCCGGCTATATTTGTGAATTTTTCATTTTCTCCATTTAGATCAGGGGTGAGGAATGTCCAGCCAATAGGCCATGTAAGGCCCATGAAATCATTTGGTCTGGCCCTGCCAAGGCATTAGGGATGAGTTAATTAAATGTTTGACCAAATATAGGAGCTTAATTTTTAACTTGATATTTTGTATGGCCTTTGAATGTTATAAATATCTAAATGGCCCTTGGTATAAAAAAATTCCCCACCAGTTTTAGATCTATCAATTTTGCTTCACATATTTTGAAGCTCTGTTTTATGGCACATGCCCACCTAAGCACAGCGAGGTCTTCTCCTTTTAAAAATGTATTTTATTGATTTTTTTTTTTTTTTTTTTTTTTTTTTTTTTTTTTTTTTACAGAGAGGAAGGGAGAGGGATAGAGTTAGAAACATCGATCAGCTGCCTCCTGCACACTCCCTACTGGATCTCATTTAATCCTTGTGTTTTAGCAGGTTTTCCCTGGCACCACACTCTAGTGTTCAAAACAGGCACCAACTCATTACTTGCAGGTGGGGGTTTTAGGTTCTCCACTAGGCCATCATTAACGTAGACAGGCTCCATGTTACTGTTAGATGGGGATGGAAGGCATCCCACTAGGCATCCACTGGTACCACCTCCAGTGGATGGGGAGGAGTATCTCATTATCCCCCTGGCCCTCCTATGGACTAGGGTGAAGTCTGGATGTATACTGAACCCTAATTAGCTTAGGGTAATTGTGACCTCAAAGTTGTTCTTAGCCTTTATCTGCCTCGACCTCTGCTGATACTACTAAATGTATCCAGCTCTATAGCGTTTACCTCCCTTCAATTTTATGACATCACACTCTCTGGATTTTTCTTCTTACTTCTCAAATACCTTCAAAATTTATTCACGGGAGCCTCTATCTTCCCTGTCTATCTAATTCTATTGTCCAGGTTCTGTCCTTATAGCTTTTTCTCATTTTTTTAATCCCTATCTAAACAATTTGATCAGTTTTCTATTTATTTCAAATATTTCAGAGAGGAAGGGAGAGGGAGAGATAAAAACATCAATTATGGGAGAGAATCATTGGTTGGCTGCCTCTTGCACACCCCCTATTGAGGAATGAGCCCTCAACACAGGCATGTACCCTTGACCGGAATTGAACTGGGACCCTTCAGTCCATAGCATTGCTCTATCCACTGAACCAAATCAGCCAGGGCTTCATCAATTTTCCTAACTAAATTACTACTTATAAAGTAAAGCTTCCTAACTATATGTCCAGCCTGAACTCAAATGACATTCAGAACCATATATTCAATCGTTTATTGGCACTCTCCTTTTGCTGTATTAGACATCTAAAAGGGATATTTCCCCCTCTCCTACCCAAACCTATTCTGCTTCTGCATTCACTGCTTCAGTTAGTGGCAAAATCATTTAGCAGGTCTCTGTAGTCAGAAAACTAGGAGTTGCTGAAGCCGGTTTGGCTCACTGGATAGTGTGTCAGCCTGCGGACTGAAGGGTCCCGGGTTCAATTCCGGTCAAGAGCACGTACCTTGGTTGCAGGCACACCCCCAGTGGGGGGGTGTGCAAAAGGTAGCTGGTTGATGTATCTCTCTCATCGACGTTTCTAACTGTCTGTCCCTCTCAATTCCTCTCTGTGTATAATCAATAAAATATGTTAAAAAAAAAAAAGAAAAGAAAACTAGGAGTTATTTGAAACCCATTTTTATCCTTCTTAATAACCATTCAATCAGGCTTGGAGTCCTGCTAAACAACTCTACCTCTTAAAACATTTTTTAAAAAAATATATTTTATTGATTTTGTACAGAGAGGAAGGGAGAGAGATAGTCAGAAACATCGATGAGAGAGAGTCATCGATCAGCTGCCTCTTGCACACCCCCTACTGGGGATATGCCCGCAACCAGGGTACATGCCCTTGACAGGAATCAAACCCGGGACCTTTCAGTCCCCAAGCCAACGCTCTATCCATTGAGCCAAATCAGTCCCGGCTACCTCTTAAAACATTTTATTATTTCCTTTTCCCTCAAACAAAATGACCTAATTAGGCTTCGTAGATCACTTTAATTAAATTTCTCATCTAGATTTCCATAATAAAAATGATTATCAAAATATTAAGAAAACACACTTATTGATGACTTCTCTAATCAAAAGTTATCACTAGTTATAACAATGTGGACTGTAACTATTAGTAGGCTATAGAATCATTCAACAACTTTTAATAATCAGATTTCTAAAATTGTTTTATTATGAAATACATTTGAGTAAACTAGAAAGTATTGTAAAGCTCTAAGCACACTGATATTTAAGTTGTTTTGTTTCATATATACACCATTTTATATCACAAACCAGTAAACACATACAAATTTATACATGTATAAACACACTGCACATACATGTATATGCATGTGTATATTGGGTCATGATGTAATCTCTTCCAGGGAAGCTCCTTGGTCCTTCATATTTCCCTATCTCTAAAGTAATGAAACATTCTTTTTCTACTTTGTCTTCTATTATTACTTCAATCCCGTTTTTATGTACCCTACGATAAAAAATTTCTAACATAGTACTTAGTATATAAGCTGGCACTTGAACATTTACTGAAGGAAATGAGTGAGATCATACTTTTGTGCTTGCTCAAAAACTTAGTCTCTATCCTAGGGTAGTAACAATTTTTAAAGGCTTAAAACACTTCAAAAATAACAACATAATAAGCTGTCATTTAAAAACACTTTGCATATGCCAGATATTTTTCCTAGTGCTTAACATGTATTATCTCATTTAATCCTTAACATGTATTATCTCATTTAATCCTTACAATTATATATTACAATTTTTAAAATGAGGAACCACAGGTAGAGACATTAAATAACTTCCCACATTAAATGGCAATGATGGCAATCAAAACCCAAAGAGTTTGATTCAGAAAACAAAGATACACATTATAGAATGCTAAGCAGTTGCTAAAAGGTTAGTGGAAAGTTAACTTACTTCAAATAAAAGTCTATAATAACATCATTTAAAAATTCTCCTTCACTTAGACAGTGCAGGTCCTCATTAGTAACGGAGATGCCTCCCTTAGCTGGAGGTGGTGGATATACTATCAACCTGGAATAAAAAATTTTTAAAAAGTAGATTATCAAATATTTATATGTGTATATATAACTGAAATGCAATAAAACAGAGAAGAAATTTAAGAATGTGGTAAATGTGAAGGAATTCTCACTTTTCTACAGGACCCATAAAGATGGTGTGACTCTCTCCAGTTTCATCATCATCATCATCAAAAAACTGAAATTGTTTGCTTCTAAGTTGTACTCTAGATTCCATGGGCACCTGGAACAGGAAATTAAATGATCGGTTCGAATTGGGAAAATTTTCAATAAAAAGAGCAAGCACAAGGCAAGAATTTTTTAACTAAAAAGGATTAAAAATGTGAATCTAAAAAGTATGCATGGTTTTTAAAAAAGAAACAGGAAAAAACAAGGGTTCATTTATTTATTATTTCTGGTACACTGATACTTCTAAATTTTTGAAACAATGGTCTCAGGCATTTTGTCTGAAATCTCTATATCCATATTAAATTAGATTGTTAGTAAAATCCAAAAACAGATATATTTTTTTCTTCTAGTAGGGTAGGCTAAGCAATCCATAGGATATGGAGCAGAGGCTGAGGAAACAGTACAATGAGCTTCAGTTCTCCAGAGTCAAAGAGTTAAAGAGCCTTCCACTGAAATCTGAGCCCATCCCAGCTACCTCATGGCTCTAGCTGTTTTAGTTTCCTCCAGAACTATCTTCTGCAGATAATTTTTCAAAAGAAGAACAGATTCCCCTTATTCTGTTCTTTTCCTCAACTTTTTTGGTGAGGCCTTGTCAACTTCACTAAGATTGTGCCTTGGATAGCCCTATCTCCAAATGTGTAGCCAGGTTGCAAGTTTTTTATGTTCTCAATAAATTAAGTCAGTAAAATTCAGTTGCTGTGGTAAGGGACAAATTTAGAGTATTTAAGTTATGTTTATATTATTTAACATTATACTGTGTGTTACAATCCTGCCTTTCATTCAGATGTCTTCAGAGTCACCTACTATATTACTTATTCTAGAACTGGATATATAAGTTGAGAGTCAGAATGGTGGTATTCTTCATTTCCCAACTTTCAACCATATATGTACATGTTACATATAAGTATACATCAGGAACCAAAACTCCTTTATTTTATTGAAGCCAATGGCATGAATAGAAACCTGCAGGGTAATAACAGACTGCAATATAGCAGTAATCTATATGTATGTTGAAAGAGAGAGGGGAAAAAAAGAGTAAAAGGAGACGAAAAGTAAATAAAGAATAGAGTATGGAGCCCAGCCTGTGTGGCTCACTGGTTGAACACTGACCCATGCATTGAGAAGTCACCAGTGTGATTACTCGTGAGGGCAACTGTCCAATTTGCTGGCTTGATCCCTAGCGGGGAACATGCAGGAGGCAGTTAAAATGTATTTCTCTCTCAATAAAATCAATAAAATATATTTTTAAAAATGAATAGAGTATGGAAAGGAACTAAAAATCCTTCTTAGACCTGTACCAAATACTTTTTGTCACAAAATCATCTATTCACCATTATATTTTACACAAAATAGTTTATAAATTGCATATAAAAGCAATAATTCTGAGATGGAATTTTAAAAATCTAACTCTGAAATGAACAGTATCATAATAAAATGTATTTCCCCTTAAAGCTATACGTTAAGATTTAAAAATTCAAAAGCATAATTACATTTTTAATTTTGTTTTCTTTTTGAACACAACTTCCTTTGATCCTCTCTTCATAGGTTCTTGTACAGGCAACAAGTCTACTATTAGCTTCTTCAAAGGGAATTTTTGCAAAAAAATTGGATACATTGTTTTTTACAGCAATTTCAGTAACGATACTTTCAAATACCATACTTGCTTGAGCATCAAGGGCATTTTGAAAAATTAAAATTATATACTGTTCTTCCAAATCTGAAAAAAAATCAATACAATGTAAGTTTAAAGAAAAAAATAAGTACTAGATAGAAGTTATTAGAAAAAAAGAGTAACAACTAGCTATTCCAAGAACGTCACCAGAAATCCCCGTATCAATGTTCAAAACAATATTTGGCAATCTATATACAATACATACAAAATGAAGATCAGTGACTGTTACCTGACAAGGTCACCTAAGTTATTAAGAGAAAGGAATCAGAACACATTACTCTAGCAGTAGATCAAGAACAAATCTATTCGTGAGTATAACTCATTTGCTTCATCTAATAAGATCGAAATATATTTATAGTTTTATATATGTATAAATTAAAAATTTTATCAAACACAAGAAATTTCCAAGTGAGCTAGAGAATTTAACTGTAAAAACTGGTATTCACAAATGAGCAAACTCTTAAGCTGAAGCAGCAATTTCTGTTGAAAAGTATTTATTTTACAAATATTCATGCTTTGTCATAAACATCAGAATGGTATCAATTATTATAGAGATTGAAGATACATTCTACAAACTTGCAAATTTCCAATTCAGGCTAAGTTTCAAGGATTCCCGATTTATATGGTTGCACTTAGTACCTATCAGTGCATTTTAAAAAGTTCATTTTATCTAAGGACTAAGCTGTACACCTGAAACCAGTATAAAATAATATTGAAAGTAAACTTTATTTGAAATTTAAAACAAAAATCACTTTACTCACAAAATACAAGGTCAAAGAGTGCAGACCTTTGAATTTTAACAATTTCAAAAACTTCATCAATGAGCAAACCTGTGTTTTATCATTAGAACTTCCACTTCACGTGGGCTTTTCCTCATCTATAAAAGGGGAAAGCAATATCTATCTACAAGGCTCTTATAAGGAATACATAGATAAAATAGAGAAATATGCTAATTAACTGGGACACCATCATGGGTTGACCAGATAGGAGGTTGCGCACGCAGCTTTGGGGCAGGGCCTGATCAGCAGCAGCCGCGGCTGCTTCAAGAGCTGGAGAGAAAGGCAGGGCTGGACTGGCAGTGGCTGCTGTGGGGCCCGGGGAATGCTGCAGGATTTTGAATCGTGCACTGGGCTTCTAGTAAATATTGTTCCCTTGACCTGGAGTTTATCCAGGAGTTTGACCAGGGGATGTGGCAGGCAGCCAGGGAAGGGAGGAAGTACTTGGCTGGCAGCCAGTAGCCGCTAAGCATCCTACCAGTGCATTAATTTCTACAATGGGCCTCTAATATAATATACATGCAAAGGATCTCTCAAAGCATACTCACATTCTGCTAGGCAATGAATTGTACTTATTATAATCCAATCTACATAACTTACTTGTTAACTTATGCATTCTTTTACAATGAGTCCAAAGATTTTCATTCATACTCATTTGCATCAGCATGCTCAGTTTCTCATAAACTGGTGGTGTCGTCTGAAGAAATACTACTGGTAATTTGCGAACATTACACCATTCACATTTAGTTAGATCAGAGGTATTTAAAGAAAAGCCTACTGGATCAGCTTCTGCTTCTGTAGAAAATCAAATGGAAATGGAAAATGAATTCTTAAAACAGCAAATTCATAAAAAAAGAAGAATGTGAGAAAATACAAGTTTAAAGTAAAACACATTTATTATGTAAATAGTAACTTCTAGTGGGAAATGAAGAAAAAATCTTTATAACTATCTTAAAGAAGCTTTTACATTTTTTTTCCCAAAAGGGGGTTCTAATGAAATATACTTACAATTAAACACAGATTTTGTGATATTATAGAATGAAATTACATTAGTAACACATCACAGACCAATAGTTTTATTGCTAGCTTTACCCAGTGGCCAGATAAGTTTTTATTGAAAGAGTACAAAAAATGTTTTACATAAATGTTAAAGGCACGCTTAAAATGAAATATTCATTGAATATTGAAGTTATTTATTACATGTTCTTACAAACTAATATCTTTTTAAAGTATGATAACTTTGGCCGGAACCAGTTTGACTAAGTGGTAGAGTGTCGGCCTGGGGACTGAAAAGTCCCAGGTTCGATTCCGGTCAAGGGCATGTACCTTTTTGCAGGCACATCCCCAGAAGGGGGTGTGCAAAAGGCAGCTGATCGATGTTTCCAGCTTTCTATCCCTCTCTCTTCCTCTCTGTAAAAACTCAATAAAATATATTAAAAAAAAAAAAAAGTGCCGAAACCGGTTTGGCTCAATGGATAGAGCGTCGGCTTGGGGACTGAAGGGATCCGGGTTCGATTCCGGTCAGGGGCATGTACCTTGGTTGCGGGCATGTCCCCAGTGGGGGTGTGCAAGAGGCAGCTGATGTTTCATCGATGTTTCTAACTCTCTCTCTCTCTCTCCCTTCCTCTCTGTACAAAATCAATAAAATATATTTAAAAAAAAAAGTATGATAACTTTGTAAAACACTGTAGTATGAAGCAAGAATTCTCGTGATCTGTCTGCAATGTATTAAGATATATTTAATAATTAATCATGTATATATAATTTAATCTTTCATTCTTGTAAAGTGGTTTAGTGTAAACAAAACTTAAGTTAGCAAAAAGACATATTATAGCTTACCTTCAATTGGTATCTTGATAATATCTAAACAAAACTAAAAAAATAAAACAAATTAATGCCAATCTGGATTTATGAGGATTTTGCTACAAACACCCTAAATTACATATTATTTGGCATTTAGATTACAGAGGGCAAAAGAAATGAATCATCTACTATGTGCTTAAATATAAAACAAGATATCCTCCCACTTCCAAGTTACCTCTCAGAAAGGTAGCCTTCGCCTTTCTGATTCAAATACTGACAATATTCTTATACTATTGACTTATTTTTCATAATTTAAGAGAGAAATTAAGAAAATCCTATATAATAAAATCCTAATATGCAAATCAACAGAATGGTGGAACGACCGGTGGAATGACTGAACCCTATGCACACTGAGTACCAGGGGGCAGAAGCTCAATATAGGAGCCTACCCCCTGGTGGTCAGTGGATTCCCACAAGGAAAGTGCCACTCAGCCAGAAGCTGGGCTCATGGCTGGGAAGTGCAATGGCAGTGGCGGGGGGCCTCTCCCCACTGCCGCTGCAGCCAGGTGGTAAAGAGCGAGGAGTCCCAGACTGCTAGAGGAATCCCAGTCTGCAAGAGGGAGCAGGCCAAGATGAGGTGATTCCCCCCTCCAGTGCCTGAATTTCATGCATCAGGCATCTAGTATTACAATATCTGAATACTTATACCCAGATTCACTAACTTAATATCTTCCTACATTTAATCATTCTTTATGTATATACTAGAAACCTGTTGCTCGAATTTTGTGTACAGGTGGGGTCCTTCAGCCTTGCGATTGGGGCTCACTGGGGCCCTGGGAGGTTGGCTGGCGGGGGGAGGGGTGGTGAATGTTGGCTGGCCTGGGTAAGGGGCTGTGGGATGTTGGCTGTGGGAGTGCACTGACCACCAGGGATTAGCTCACATCATAGTGACTGGCTGACTGGTCATTCAGTTGCTTTTATATATATAGATACACACACACAAAGACACACACACTCCGTTCCCTTTTGCTAAACCAGTATAAAGGCAGATGTTGTAGTAAAGAAAATAAAAATTAAGTTCATTCAACATACAATTCAAATTTCCCCAACTGCTCAAAATTGTCCTTTATATTTGACTTAATTTCTCCTCACTAATGATTCTTTCATGGCAATGTTACATTAAGTCTCTTTTTTGTCTATAACAGAGAGAAACCTTCCTCTGCTTTTTATAACACAGCCTTTGAAAAATCGAAGCTAGGTTTTAAAAAAATGTACAACACCCTGGGAACCACATTGAAGGCACATGATATCAGCCAGCCCCACTATTGAGACAAGCTTAATCACTTGTTGAAGTCAGTGTGTTAAGTCTTAAAATCTGTTTCTTAGATTAATAATGACAAGGCAGATATATCATTTCAGTGCAAAACATAAAGGAAGTTATGTACAGAAAGAAAATGTCAAATCATCTTTTAACACACAATCTGAAGAAATTACAGATCCACTATACCCTATCAAAAATATTCTTTGGGTAAATTTCATGGTACAAGGAAGATTAATAACAGATAGAAAATTTTCATATCATAAGCACAACTACTTTTTAGCTAAAATATTTCATTTAGCATTTTAAGTTTAAAAAAACCTATAGTAACACAGTTTATTATATACACTGCCATTTATTTTTTAAACTAAATTCAATTTTTCTTCAATAGATCATATACATATTAATCTGTAACTTTCATGTAAAAAGCTCATTTAAATTTTGATGTCAGTTTTGCTAGATAGTCTTCAGACTTTGTAACTTTCAACTAAATGGCTAAATTATCAGCCTTAATTATCATACATAGGAGTTCTGAATAATTGTACTCTGAATAATATACGGGGAAAGCCATAAAACCTATAAGATATTCCTGGAAATTTCTGATATATAAGATTTAATGTAACATTTTTATTGTCTGACAGGACCATAGAAGATCATCTGTACCATGAAGGTTTGAGACAAAACAGAAGCTTCATAAATCCCTGAAAACCCTGCTATATAACAATATTGCTGGGCAATGATAGTCTATATATAATTTGTTTTAGATCTCTGGAGTACTTCAGACCATTCCAGTTTTTAAGTCATGAGAAGCTAGAGTTTTTTGATGGGGGGGAAAACTGCAGTTTTCCCATATGGCTTTTCTTGCATAAGAAATCATGTCCACATTTCATTTTCTTCTATAAACTTAACCTATAAAGATTTTCCCCCTATTGATCGTATTTGTTCTAGAATCAAAAATCCTAGAAAATTAAATAGCTATCATTTACCATAATTTACATAATAATAAAGCAACCTTTTAACTTTCCTAATACAATCTGTGTTCTTAAAGATATTACTCTTGTATAAAGAAAAATACAAGACAGAGTTTAAAAGGTTAGAAATGGATAGCCAGGAACACCAAGTTAAAGGCTTACAAAATAGTGCAGTGCTAAAGGAAGATCAATTGCCCAACAATATATAGAGCATATTACAGAAGAAAAAAAAAATGATGACTAAGAAGGCTAGTTAAGGACATTACATTAAATTTTCAAACAGGAAATGCAAATTTGAATTGGTAGCAATAAAATAATAAGAAAACTCTTATGACAGATAAAAACAGAAGGACTAATTAAAGTTCTTTGGATTCTGCCGAAACTGGTTTGGCTCAGTGGTAGAGCGTCGGTCTGCGGACTGAAAGGTCCCAGGTTCGATTCCGGTCAAGGGCATGTACATTGGTTGCGGGCACATCCCCGGTAGGGGGTGTGCAAGAGGCAGCTGGTCGATGTTTCTCTCTCCATCGACGTTTCTAGCTCTCTATCTCTCTCCCTTCCTCCTCTCTGTAAAATATCAATAAAATATATTTTAAAAATAAATAAAGTTCTTTGGATTCTGAGGATATTGAACCAGTGCCTTTTGAATAGCTATTGTAGTCAATAATCTATTTCTAGGAGTCTTAGTGCTGCAAGACATTTTCCTGCAGACTCCAAAACTTTTGGATTCTTCTTTCTGCACGTATATTCTTTAAAATACTGTTTTCATTGAGCTGGCATTAAGAATAAAATAGTAGCCTTAACTGGTTTGGCTCAGTCGATAGAGCAATGGCCTACAGACCGAAAGGTCCACCGGTTCGATTCCAGTAAAGGACAAATGCCTCAGTTGCAGGCTAGGTCCCCAGTAGGGACATACAAGAGGCAGCCAATCAATGATTCTCTCTCATCATTGATATTTCTATCTCTCTCCCACTCTCCCTTCCTCTTTGAAATAAAAAAAATATATTTTAAAAAAGTAAGAAGTGGAAAGTTTTTAACTCAGTTAAATACTAAGTATCTTCCCACAATGAATATGTCACTACCAAGAGCAATGAATTATAAAAAAGTTTTTACTCATTTAATGTCAGGACTTATTTATAAATAGAGGCCTGGTGCATGAAATTCATGCACGGGGGGGGGGGGGGGGGGGGGAGTGTCCCTCAGCTCAGCCTGCACCCTCTCCAATCTGGGACCCCTTGAAGGATTGGGCCTAAACTGGCAGTTGGACACTCCTCTCACAATCCAGGACTGCTGGCTCCTAACCGCTCGCCTACCTGACTTCCCGATTGCCCCTGCTTCTGCCTGCCAGCTTGATCACCCCCTAACCACTCCCATGCCACTCTGATTGATGCCTAACTGCTTCCCTGCCAGCCTGATTGCCCCCAACTGCCCTCCCCTGAAGGCCTGGAACCCCCCCCAACTTCCCTCCCTTGCAGGCCTGGTCCCTCCCAACTGCCCTCCCCTGCTGGCCACCTTGTGGTAGACATCGTGTGTCTATATGGGTGCAGCCATCTTGTGTGTTGGAGTGATGGTTAATTTGCATAATATTCTTTTATTAGATAGCCTTATTTATATACTATTACATATGAAATCTTAAAAATAATTTAATATTCAATTAAATTAAATATTTTAAAGTGTCACTTATTAGCCTTAGCCACAGAATTATGAATCTTATAATTGGTATAATGAACACAGAAGAATGTACTTACAATTACAGGTTCTACTAATAGCCGAAAGAGTGTCCCTACTCGTATACTTCGACAGTTTAAAATGACACTGCCATAGGAAGTTGGGCAGTTTAAAGATACAGGATCAACTAAAGTTTCTTGAGCAATCACCTTGCGACGTTTCAGAGGTGTGTTGATAATAGAATTACCAAACTGAAAAAGAAAAAAATTTGCACTTATTAAAGTACTAAAACAAGGCTTTGAAGTATATATATATATATATATATATATATATATATATATATATGCGCAGAAGACCCGATATGAAAAATATAATTATCAAAACATAAGATTAAGTTACTTCAGATTTCATATTATCATATAAAATCAAGAAATATTTCTTGATTTTATATAATAATAAACTCTTGTATGTTATATAGCTATAGTTTATGTAGTTATTACTTTAAATTAAAATAATAGCACCGCAGTGAAAAATGGTATTCTGGGAAGACTGCTTGGTTTCAAACCAGTTACATATCTTTTAATCTGATTTTGTGAACTTAAAAACTCTGTAAATTTTGGTTTCTTAAATTGTAAAATATGAAGAGTAAGAGTATTTACTCAAGTGAGCTAATGCTTATAAACAGCTTAGCACAGTGCTTCAGGCCCTCAAAAATACTAGATAAGTTAGCTAGTAACAGTAGTAGTGGTTGTATTATAGAACCTGGAGTTAAATCAACAATTTAGAAAAAAAGGTGATTTAAGAGTATGGCTACCTGCATTAATAAAATATGCTTCTTTATATTATTTTAAAGTAGTTGATATATATTATTAAATACATACACACACACACACACACACACACACACACACACACACACATTGGTTAATCCTCACCTGAGGATATTTTTCCCATTGCTTTTTCAGAAAGTGGAAGGGAGGAAGGGAAGGAGAAAAGGAGGGAGAGAGTAAGAGAAGAGAGAGAAACACTGATGTGAGACACAGTAACTGGTTGCCTATGGCATGTGCCCTGGGATAGGGAGCAAACACACAACCCAGGCATGTGCCCTTGACCAGAAATTGAACCTGAGACTTTCAGTACTCAGGCCAACTCTCTAACTATTGAGTGACATCGGCCAGGGTAAAAAATATTTTTCCTATATAATAAAAATCTAATACCAGTATGTTAAGTGTCTGGTCGTCTGGTGACCAGTCCACTTTTCAACTCAAGTGTAATATGCTAAGGCCACTCACTATGATGTGCACTGACCACCAAGGGGTAGATGCTCCAACTGGTAGGTTAGCTTGCTGCCGGCATCCAGCTGATTGGGACTGAGCGAGATGGGCCAGACAAGCCCTGGAGCCCTCCTGTGGTCTCTCCCGGGCTCGATCATGCACCATTTGGGTCCTTGGCCTGGCTTGAGCCCTCTCGCAACACAGGACCTCTCAAGGAATGTCAGAGAACTAGTTTCAGCCTGACTCCACAGGCCACTTCCCTTGGGAGGCACCAGATGCAGGGCTCATGGATGGTGAGTCCTGCTGCAGCAGTGCAAGACTCTCGTGATTGGAACTGATTGAGCGCGGGCCCATGGCAGACACAGTGGGACCAGAATGAACAGGAACAGTAGGTAGAAGCTGCAGGCAGTGTTGGACTACAGGTTTCAGCCCGATTTCTGCAGGCTACCCAGAGAGGCCCTACCAATTCATGAATTAATGTACCAGGCCTCTAGTATAATTTAAATTTAAAGTAATTAAAATTATGTTAAAAACTTTATTATAAACATAATAAAACATCGTCCTGGTTAAAAAAAAACAAAAACAAAAAAAAAAACCAAGAAGTAAAAATGAGCAATGCATAGAAATAAGCACTATTCTCATTATACCAACAGAGATATTTCTGTGATCTATGTCACAAAAAAAAAGTGATATACACACATTTGTTCATGTAAACTGCTCTTTCAGGCTTACTAACAGATTTATCATATTTTCCCACATATTAATAAAAATTTATCATATAGATTTAAAAACTCTTTTTAGCTTTAGAATTCAAACAAATTATTAGCTCGATAACCCTATATAATAAAAGCCTAAGTGGCATCATGCACGACGTTGCCACAAAATGGCTGACTTCATGTCATCATAAGATGGCCACCAGGGGAGGGCAGTTGTGGGAGATCAGTCCAGCAGGGGAGGACAACTGGGGGACAACAGGCAAGCAGGAGATGGCTGTTGGGAGTGATCAGGCTGGCAGGAGGGCAGTTAGGGGCGACCAAGCCAGCAGGGAAGCAGTTAGGGGGCGATCAGGCAGGTGAGCCGTCAGGATCCAGCAGTCCCGGATTGTGAGAGGGATGTCTGACTGCCAGCAGTTGGACATCCCCAAAGGAGTCCCAGATTGGAGAGGATGCAGGCCAGGCTGAAGGACACTACCCCTCCCATGCACAAATTTCATTTACCGGGTCTCTAGTAAGTAGATAAATAATTTAAGAACTGCTCCAGCTGAATACATAGTAGAGACTGAGTCTAGAAATAGGGTAGTCCATATGCTTCCAAGGAGCCTCTAAAATATCTCTGAGGAAACCTAATTGTTCAATGTGCCTGTTGAAAACTGCTCGCCCACAAATTCTAGCACATGGAAATCCATTATTGATTTAATTAATTCTCCTTTGCTGACATCTGAGTTCTTTCTGGACTTTTTGCACAACACATTATTTTTCAAGAAGTATTCTCACAGCTAAATCCAAATATATATGATTTTTGCCAAACTGCCTAATATCGATAGCAATTATTTTTCCAGTTTATCTAATCAATACTCTATTCTTCCAAACACTAACCAAAATGAGATACTATTACACTTGAAGTTTTTTTTTTTTTTTTTTAGCACTGACAGTTAAAATACATTGCTTTAATTTCATTTTCAATACTTTTACTATTAGTTTGAACTCTATTCATTTCAATTAGTCATTTTTCTATAGTTTCTATTTCTTGATTTTTAAGAAATTAAAAATTTATAAAGGACTAACTCATACTGTCAGTTCCCTATTTTTAATTCATTTGCATTTACCTATCAAATTATGTTTATATTTTGCTACACTGTTCTGTATTTCATATATTTCATGAATATATTTACTCAAATATATTCGTCACTTCATTTGCTATTATTGCTTGTGCATACACATTTGGAAAGGCATCCTTCAAGATTATATTAAAAATATTAATCCCTACTTTTTCTTTAATCTTTATAATTGCTTTTTATTTTAATTCCTATGGTTTCCATCTTAACAACCCAATATGTACATTCCCATATTTTTATTTATATTCCTATAATCCCTGACATGTACATATAAGCCCATGTCTAACTTTTTTTCATCCTTATCCAAGGATATATTTTGATTTTTTTAAAAATTGTTTAGAGAGAGAGAGAGAGAGAGGAAAAAGGGAGAGAGAGAAACACTGATCAACTATTCAAAACCTGCCCCAACACTGACCAGCTGGGGAACTGAACTTGCAATATTTTTGGTGTATAGGAACACATTTCAAACCAGGGCCTCATATGTAATTTTTTTTGCAGGTTTTAAAAAATATTTTTTAAAGGTTATTTACAAAAAAAAAAAGAATTTTTTTCTTCTTCAAATAAAATGACATAGTTTTGCATCTTGGTATTCCCATTTAACAGTACCATGTAGAAAACTTAAGTCATTAATATAGTTTGAATATTTTTTGGCCAGTGGCTGCACAAAAGCCCATGAGGTGGATATACCATAAATACTTCATCCATTTCCATATTAATGGGTAATGATTTTGTATGCAGTTATATGCCAACAATCATTTTTATACATTCTTATGTACCGGAGGGTGGGGGGGGACAATTCCTTTGAAATTGAGTCTAGGGAATAAATTACTTGGTCATTTAAAATGTTTCAATAGATATTTTTACACTGCTTTCTCCAAAGATCCTAACACCTTTTATTTTCCATCAGCAAATTACAAAGGTACTACTCTTTTCCTCAGATTCTTGGCAGAAGTTTATATGGACTGATTTTGTATTCATTTTGAAAGTCGGTTTAGAATATGGTTAAGTGGGGCTTAAAATGCCACTTGAAAGATTAGTTGGAAGCACAATCCATTAAATCACAGGTTCAAGTGTAATCTATTTAGCAAGAAGAAATAATATTAGTGTTACACTACATGTAAGTATAAATAAGTATACTTGATAGTAGTATAATTTGGGAATAGGTAAAGTCATTTTTAACTTACTAATTTGCACTTTTCATGTGGTAGTTTATTATTTGAATTTTCTTTGTCTATTCTTTTTCACTTTATTTTTTTCTTCAATCTTTAAGAGTTCTTAGTATATTACATATATTAACATAATATATGTCATCTGCATTACAAATACTGCTTTCTAGGTCTATTGTTTGTCTACTCCCTGCCATAATTTTTATCTTTTCCATCTGAGTATTTTGAAAAATTTATACAGTAAGATATAATAGTGCTCGCTTCGGCAGCACATATACTAAAATTGGAATGATACAGTAAGATATAATAGAACAATGATGTAATTGAATACAATGAAGTTAAAAATGATTTCTCCCCATTCCCAAATTATACAAATATACTTGTTTAAACTTAACTTGCTGCTGTGACATTATTTCTTCTTGCTGTATTGTTTACACTTTAACCTGTGACTTAATGGATTGTTCTTCCAAATAATCTTCCAAGTGGCTTTTAAGCCACACTTAATGAATAATTTATCTTTTTCTCCTAGTAACACTGCCAAATTACCCTCCAAATACATCCATCCCAAAGGTGAGACATAATCTGGATAAATATCAAAAAATGTAAAAAGTACCTGATCTTTCATTCTTGCTTTTCTTGGCAATGGAACTGTATTTAATTCTGAATCTGCTGGAATGCTTCTTAGTTCATGCTCTACTCTACTGGTATTTTCACTTAGTGCTGCTTCTACATTTCCAGTGGATGGTGCTGGGGAAGAACATGCTGAGTCAGCAGGTTGAGGAGATATGCTCTCTCTTCTGTTAGTCCTGTCATTGTCATCATCATCATCACTGGACAAAATGACTATAAAAAATGTTAAATACTTCATGTATTTCATTTCCGACAGTTAAAAAAATGTAAATATATTACCAAAATGGGGAATATACCAAATCTGCTTTGGATCTCCTCCAGATCTGAGATTAATAAAGGCAAATGAAGATATAATCCACTCTATCTAGTGAATTTATAAAACAATTAAAAAATAAAGCATAGTAACTGACAAAATAACATACAAGTATAAAATTGATTCTATAATCCATCATCATCACCCACAAAGAAACATACACCTATGTTTAAATGTTTAATCAGTAGATACATTTCAAAGTTCCAAAAAGCTAAAGTATAAAGATAATCAGCATACAAATTGTTCACAAATAGCATGAATTTTAAATATGTGTGAAGCTTCATGTGACCACATACTTTTATCGCATATAGGAAATCACTAAAATCCTAATTGGTCCTTGGAAGAACTTGGACCAGTATCTAATGCTCAATTCACCTTGAATAAATGAGCACAGACAAGAAAAGATATTAGGAAGGTAATTTACTCTTATGCCTTGTACTTATTATTAAACTAGTGGTTTGGTGCATAGATTTGTCTTTGGGGATTGGACCAAAACCAGCACTCCTACGCCACCTGCCGCTTCTGCTCATCCCGGCCGCACTGCTCATCCTGCTGCTGCTCAGTAGGCTCCCTGCTACTCTGCAGCACTCTCTGGGCTGCGGGAGCCAGCCATGAGCTATATGTCTGATGCCTGTTGGTAAGCTGAGCAGTGGTCCCAATGTGGGACCTGCATTTAGTGTCTTCCACCACCACTCCCCCAACCCCCTTACCGGTGGTCAGTACGCATCAATACGATAGATCGGTGGTTTAGGCATATATTTATACACACACACACACACTCTCTCACCTTACCAAACCCATCCCTGTTATCACAATTCTTCAAAGTCACCTACACTGCACTTGTGTCAAATCCTAACTCCTTACTCTGGTTTATAAATGTACATAATATGGGCCTTGCCTACTTCTCCAACCTTCATATACTATTCTACTTGTCATTCTTTATTCTCCAGTCCAACTAGCCATTTATTCTGTTTCTCAATTACCCACAAGCTTGTTCTGTCAGAATCAGAATCCCACTAGCACTCTGTACTTTAGCATCAAGAATTAGCTTAAAAATCACTTTTTGCTTGACCATGCAATCTATAGTAAGTATATGAGCACTTGCTATAATAATTGACAAAAAGTCTGAGAGTGCTCGGCATAGAAAAAGCATATAAAAATCATCTGTTTAAAACCCAGGGCACAAAATTCGTGCATGAGGGGAGGGGGTTCCCTAAACACAGTCTGCACTCACTTTAATCGGGCATCCCTTGGGGAATGTCTGACCACTGATCTAAACCAGCAGTTGGATATCTTTCTTGCAATCTGGGACCACTAGCTTAACTGCTCACCTGACTGCCTGATTGCCCATAACCTCTCTGCCTCTTCCTGCCTGATGCTGCCTAAGTGCCCTTCCCTGCCGGCCTGATCTCACTCCAACTGCCCTCTTCCCCTGCCAGCCTGATCCAGTATTCCCATCATTAGTCAAAGGGAGCTCTTTCATTTTAGCTCTTGAGTCCTTTTATGTGTCCACAGTATTCCTTACAGCCTCCATACTTCCTGATATCACTAGATGATATAGGTTTATTACCTTTCTGTCCCAGACTTTGAGTTAGCAATTTCTCTGAGGAGCTCTGGTGGGAAATGATATTCAAAAACACAAATATGGGAGCTAGGGTTGTTTGTTTCTACACGAGGGTTGCTTACTGTTTCTAGGCATTTTCTGCAGGTAAAGCTAGGAAATACTTATTTTCTATTTAAGAAAAAATATGCAGAAAGTTCACTTAATTTCTGAATCAAATTTAAAGTTATGAGATATTGATTTTACTTGTATATTCCTTTTCCTCTAATACTGAAAATCTTGGTTTCTGGAGACAATCATATAATGGCTTATTTGCTTTATCAAAATGTTTAAAAATCTCAATACCAATATTAGTAACAATATTTGTGACTACACTTAGGATTTCCTAGTTTTGTTTGACCTTAAATTAGCTCACATAAGGATGCACAACCACAATATTATTTTAAATTCATCTGAAATAATTCTTCTGTGTGTTCAAACAAGCAATTGATATATAGACATTCATTTATTTTGGTTTTGATTTTTTTTTATGTGTGTGTGTGTGTGTGTGTATATTATTGATTTTTTACAGAGAGAAAGAGAGAGGGATAGAGAATTAGAAACATCGATGAGAGAGAATCATCGATCAGCTGCCTCTTGCACACCGGCTACTGGGGATGTGCCTACAACCAAGGTACATGCCCTTGACTGGACTCGAACCTGGAACCTTTCAGTCTGCAGACCGATGCTCTATCCACTGAGCCAAACTGGTTTTGGCTTTTGTTTTTAAATATTTGCAATTTAGTTTTCATTTATAATCATGTGAAATGTTTACATGGCTCCAAAGTCAAATTTATAAAACAAGTACATATGTAGACATCTAGCATCTATCCCTAATTCCCATACTATTTCCTCTCCTTCCAATCACTTTAAATTTAATTTCTGATATACCTTTCATTAAAAACAAAAAAAAATCTAGATTCATTCTCCCATCCTTCCTAAATAAAGGGTAGCATACTATATACTGATACTCGCTTTGCTTTATTCATTTGGTTAATCACTTGAAAATCACTTATAAAATACTAAATCATTTCTCCCCTTTTACAAGTAGGTATACTGTAGTTTTCTCAATCAGTCCCAATGTTTCCAATCTTTTTCTATTTATTCTAACAGGATTATATTCCATACACACACATATGCACATGTGTCTGAAAAAAAAAGATTTAGGGGAGAAACAAAGTGGTAAAGAAACTAATTATCAGAGTCCTTTCTAGCTGTCAAATATTGGGGCTCGGGACTGATCAGGGCTGGCCAGCCGGGTGAGGGGCCACAGGAAGTTTGTGGGGCCAATTGGGGGCTGACTGGCTGTGGGAGCATCTGCCCCCTAGTGGTCAGTGTGCATCATAGCGACCAGTGGACCAGCTGGTTGCATATATATATATATATAGTAATGTATCCATTTATAGATCAGAGAGATTAAATTAACCAGGCTGAAGTTAGAAAGCTAGGCATACATGGACTTGACCTAGGAATGTGGACAAGTTCTGTGCTTTTATTGTGTGTGTGTGTGTGTGTGTGTAAAAGCCTAAGTGACTGGGTGACTGGCCAGTAGCTATGACACACACTGACCACCAGAGGGCTAACGCTGAATACAGGAGCTGCCTCCTGGTGGTCAGTGCACTCCCACAGAGGGAACGCTGCTCAGCTGACCAATGGGTGCCAGATGCCGAGCACAAGCTGTGGCAGCAGGAGCCTCTCCTGCGGACACTCCCCCTATATACCCGAGCGGCAGCAGTAATCACAGCGGGGCAAGGATGAGCAGAGCACAGTGCACAGCCTGGGCTTGGGCTTGGGCTCCTCCTTGGCCGCCTCCCACACTACGCACTACTTCGTGTTGTGCATGATGGACCTGGACAGCAGGCTAGAGCCCAACAAGCTAGCAGGTAAGGCAGGGCTACAGTGGCACAGAGGTCTACTGATATCCGCAGGCCAGGCGAGTCATTATTTGCTAACTATGAATACAATTTTAATCACCTACCCAAAAATGTTACATAACTCACACAAAATTATACTTCTCAAATATACTCATGTTCACCTTACAATACTGAACTGATATAAGCAATACCAAAGGGAGTAAAACACTTACTTGGATCATTCAGGTCTGACAAGCTTATTTTCCTTTCTTTTAGATTTGTGGTCTTGACGCCTTTAGCCCTAGATAAAACGACTTTCCCATTAGCCTGTAAATAATTCTGTCTATCACAATTTACAATAATATCAATTGGAACCTTTCCCACACTGTTGCCATAAAACTTGTTGGGTGTTAATGCTGTGCTTTGTGACTTCTGTCCTCCAGAATTCTGATGATTTGATGTTCTCAATAACGGACCAATTGATTCATTCAAAGCTGTAGCTGGTCTGCAACTTCTGGGCAAATCCTTAGGAAAAAGAGTATCACAACTTTGACATTTGGTATGAATTTCTTTTTCTTGACCACATTTTAGACAATATTCATACTGTTCAGAAAACTTAGGTTTCAAAAAAATATAAGACTTTGGCATTTCATTCCAACATCATGGAACAAATACATACAATATTTCAAAATTAACTCTCACTTCCCATCACATCACCATGACTACCACAAAAATCCTGAATATGTCATATTAGTTAGAATTTAGCAGCAGAATGCTGAAGAAATTTTTGAGACCTTCACTCCAGCATACAAGGCATAAATAATCTTAACACATAAAGTGCCATGTCAGTCACCAGTGACTGACACTATACTTTCTGTTCAGACCTGTCAGTCACTGGTGCCGCCAGTATATTGGTGAAATTGGATATCGTGGGCTAAATGGAAAGCAAGACAAAACAGGCTTGGCACTTAACGTATTAAGGGAATCAATATCTAGTTTCTCAATTTCTACATAAAATCTTCCAAAAACCCAACATGATTATGCTTATGTCAAGGAATCTCCTACTACAAATGCTTCTCCTCCTCCACAAAATAAGAATGCTAGCCCAGCTGGTATTGCTCAGTGATTGAACATCAACCCATGAACCAGGAGGTCATGATTCAATTCCCACTAAGGGCACATGCCTGTTTTGAGGGATATACAGGAAATCAATAAAAACATAAAAAAAAAAAGAATGCTAAACCTTCCATTTAAAATATCACTAATGATATATTTCCTGTGGTATAAAAACTATTAAATCAAACTAAAGGACAATTTTAAATGTTGAAAAAATGAATTATAAGTACTGGTTAACAAAATTTTGCAAGACAATTGATTTCTAAGTCAGTATTTCAAAAATTTTGTAATGAAGGCTTACTCTATGTTACAGTTATGATATTAAAAATGTTTTCTGGCCGGGACCGGTTTGGCTCAATGGATAGAGCATCAGTTTGGGGACTGAAGGGTCCTGAGTTCGATTCCGGTCAAGGGCATGTACCTTGGCTGTGGGCATATCCTCAGTGGGAGGTGTGCAAGAGGCAGCTGATCGATGACTTTCTCTCATCGATGTTTCTAACTATCTCTCTCCCTTCCTCTCTATACAAAATCAATAAAATATATTTTAAAAAATGTTTTCTGACAGTATCGTGTGATTTGGGGCATATAAATTAGAAAAAATTAAAGGTATTGATGATATTACTATAATTTTTTTCATAGTCATGTACTTATTCATGTGAAACTTATTTATGTACTTATTTATTACCTCAGCATTTACATCTATAAGAAGGAAACAGAAATAGATGTTGAATCCTATCTCAGTATATAACATATATTTATCCACAGAGACATGAACTAATTGAGAAAAAGTCAATGGCTCTAAATAAAAGATGCATTTCCAATAACTTTACGCCAAATAATTACTTATTTAATTTTCTAACAACATACAATTTAAATCTATTAATAATTGTTTTTGTATATTATATGTATTTATACTGTACTAAAAGGCCTGTACACGAAGGTGCAGTCTCTAGGCTTGGCTGGGGATCAAAGTGCAAGCGTCTGGCTTAGAAGGGCAGGGACCAGGTGACCTCTGAGCCCTGGGCAACACCTGAGTCTCTGAGCCCCCAACTGCCTGAATCACAGCTCCTTCATCTCCACATGAAGATGCAGTGAGCGTGGCCGGATGCCGTGGGCCAGGGCGCAGTGTGGGCCTCCTGGAAGCCGGGCAGGCAGCACCCTGTCTTCTGGCAGGCTTTGCAGATCTGCTCGTGTGTGAACACACCAGGAGCCCAATGGGCCCCTGCAGTCCAGTGGTTGCAGCCCGGCTCCTCACAGGCCCCAGCAGCTGAGCACCCGCTGCCAGCGCCATGGCATCGCTGCCCACCATGTTCTGTGCCTCTCCCTGATGGTTAGTGGCTGAACTCCGTCTGCCAGTCGAACGACCACCCAAAGGGACAATTTGCAGAGTAGGCTTTTATTACATAGGATTGTTATTTTAAATTTAAGTATAATTGATATACAATATTGCATTAGTTTCAGGTGTATAATATAGTGATTTGACATTGAGATACCTTACAATGTGATTACCACTCTAATTCTAGGAATAATGTGTCACCATGCAAACTTATCACAGTATTATTGACTACATTCCCCTTCACTTTTTTGACCCATCCCACCTTACCTCTACACTCTGGCAACTATCCATTTAATGTTTTTTAAGAGAAATAACTCAGTCTAAAAGAAAATTATTTTAATACTTTAGCCTAATATCAAAGGAAACTAGTGAACAACTATTTGTTGTGACAATGAAATGACAGAATGAGATTGTCATTATAAAGATGTATTGTACTTGGATGCTACCAGATCCATATATGAGATCTAACCACTCCATTTAAAAACATTACTCCTGCCTGGCTGGTGTGGTTAATCAGGAGGTTCCATTCCTGGTCAGGGCACATGCCAGGGTGTGGGCTCAGTTCCCAGTCAGGGGCATGCAAGAGGCAGCGTATTAATGATTCTCAAATCATTTGTGTTTCCCTGTCTCTCTCCCTTTCCCTTCTTCTCTGAAATCAATAAAAATGTATTTAAAAAAATTCTGATTGAGACAATGGCTGGGCATAGCTCAGTTGGTTAGAGCATTGTCCCATACACCAAGGCTGTAGGTTTGTTCTCTGGTCAGTGCATATCCAAGAAGCAATCAATGAAAGCATAAATAAGTAGCACAAATCTATCTCTCCCCCCTCTGTCCATTCCTCACTCTTTTTCTCAAGTCAATTAAAAAAAAAAAAATTCTGGTCAAGAGCAGTTATTTGGAGTTATGTTGCACTGATGTATTCTTTCCAGAAAAAGACATTCTAGATTTTGTATAGTTAAAAAATCTAGTGAAGGTTTTTTTTTTCTTTCAGATTTCTTCGCAAGGGTACTTGACTCCAAGTCCCAACAACCGGCTGCTGCAGTTGCTGCAGTGCCGTCCTCAGCTTCACGATGTTTCCGCTGGCCAAAAACGCCCTAAGCCGTCTCCCAGTTCGAAGCATTCAGCAAACAATGTCAAGGCAGATTCACCAGAAGAGGACACCTGATTTCCATGACAAATATGGCAATGCTATTTTAGCTAGTGGAGCCACCTTCTGTGTTGCTACATGGACCTATACAGCAACATAAATTGGAATAGAATGGAACCTGTCCCCTGTTGGCAGAGTCACCCCAAAGGAATGGAGAGATTAGTAATCATCCCAAAGTTGGTGTGATAATGAATTATTTCAAAACCAACTCATAATTGATGGCAAGTGAAAGCAATGTATGCCTATTAAAATATGGCATGAATGGAGAAATAAAATACATTTAAACCTTAAAAAAAAAAAAAAAATCTAGTGAAGTCAGTAAAGTTTGCCTAAGTAACTTGTCTCTCTTTTAGTAGTATGAGTATAGTTCACCTACAATTCAATAAATACTAAAAATCAAATACCATCTCATAAACAACAAAGTATAATTACCTTACCCACCTCTAAATCAGTTGAAGATTTTTTTGAGGCAGGGGACACAGGAGTAGCAGAGAGATATGAATTATGACGTTTCTGTGATACTTTCCTTTTAATTTCAGACTCCAAATATGATTCAGATTCTTCTGTTTTCTTCATTATAGGATCTAAAGGAAGGAGACAAAAATAAAAGTACTAAAATGAAATTTTATCAATTCCTCATGATCCTGATTATGAAAAAATACTAACTTATCAAATTGTTTTAGTTAAAATAATGTTTCAACACATCCAATAAAGAATAATCAGAACTTTAAGTCAAGACAATCCTATAAAAAAAAAGCCTAATATACTAAGTGTTTGGTTGACTGGTCAGCCAATCAATCAATCACAGCATAAAAAGCTAATGATATGCTAAGGCCACTCAACTGCTCGCTATGATGGGCACTGACAACCAGAGGGCTGACAGTCAACCAACCAACAAGTCACTCTGACATGCACTGACCACCAGGGGACAGATGCTCTGACAGGTAGGTTAGCTTACTGCTGGGGTCCAGCCAATCAGTACTGAGCGAGATGGGCCAGTCATGTCCTGAAACCCTCCCACAGTCCCTCCCTGACTGGCCAACCTCCTTTGTCTCTCCTGGGCCCTGATCATGCACTGGTGGGACCCCTCAGGTAATGTAAGAGAGCCAGTTTCAGCCCAATAATGCAGGCATATCTATACTAATAAAAGAGAAAGATGCAAATTGACCATACCTTCACGACACCCACCAGCCAATTAGGAGTAAGCAAATTAACCCATCAAAGATGGTGGGGTTAATTTGCATATGCAGACACCGAGTGGCCAGGGGCGGGACACAGGCGTTCTGCACCGCCCCAGCTATTCAGGGTCTCTGGGCAGTGTGACAAGGCGGGGCTGGAGTGGAAAGAGGCAACTCCTGGGCTGGAGTGGAAAGGCGGTGCCAGCAGCCAGGGAAAGGAAGGCCCATTCTTGTACGAATCTTCATACATCAGGCTTCTAGTTTATATAAGACCATTACAGCGGAATGATCAGAACTATTAGGCGTTATGACGTGCACTGACCACCAGGGGGCAGACACTCAACATAGGAGCTGCCCTTGGTGATCAGTGTGCTCTTACAGGGGGAGTGCAGCTCAGCCAGAAGCTGGGCTCACATGGCAGCAATAGGAGCAGCAAGCAGAGTGTTAAGGATCAGGGAGCAGGTAGACAGTAAGAAGCGAGGGGTCCTGGACTGCGAGAGGGCACAGGATGGGCTGAGGACCACCCACCCATATGCACAAATTTCATGCACCAAGCCTCTAGTTACAGGATAAAATATTCCAACACTCGAGGCCTGGTATACAAAATTAGTACATGGGTAGAGTACCTAGGATTGGCCAGTGATCAGGGCCAATCTGTGGGGCGACCAGCAGGGTGATTAGGGCCCGTGCTGTCACCAGCCTTGGCTGGCCTGGCACCGCCTGCTCGTCAGACCTGCCCCTGCAGGGACCTGTGGGCTGGGGGAAGCTCCTGCATGGAGCGTCTGCCCCTGGTGGTCAATGTGCATCATAGCGATCAGTCATTCTGCCAAACTTTCCACCATTCAGTCGATTTGCATATTAGGGTTTTATATATACCGGTAGTTTAAAAAAACACACACAGAATTTTGATGCTATAACCCCAAAAACATTTGAGTTTTGAACTTAACAAAAAATAATAAAGATTTCAAATTGTAATCACCTGAATGTGCAACCATTTCTTGGTGCTTTTATTCAAAATTAAATAAATTCTCAATTCAGTTACAATTTTTTTTTTTTTTACATATTTATATTATACCTGGGAATATTTTAATGCCAAGGTCATAGCTTTACTTCTACCTTTCAAACTACTCAAAATCTTTTACAGATGTATCAGGTAAAATTGAACACTTACCAACACCTTGGGGCCAACTTAACCTTACAGGATTATTTTCAAATTTTTGGACATGAGGTGGATATTCTTTCCTATAAAAGGGAATATACATAGTTTTATTCTAACAAAAAAAATATTTTTCAAAATGAAAAAATTGAGAAAATACTTATAATACTTTAAAAGCAAATCATAGCTTCTTTGCCATATAAAAGTGATACTGTAAAATAACAAAATTATATTTACAGAAATATACTAATAACACATTCTAAGATCTCTAAAGTCAGTGACTATCTTTTGTTTAGATAGTTAATTTATCAAACCCCATAGCAGGCATTAAGATTACTGTTCTTTCAAACTAGTTCCCCAAATGCATAAAACTATACTAACAGAGGAATAGGCAAATTGTCTGGGATGCTATCACAGTAACAACCGAACAGCAGGTTGTGTGGGGCGACAAGGTCGGAAGGGGGGGTTAGTAAGGAACGACTAATGACTGAACAGCAGTCTGTGTGGGGTGACTAGATTGGTAGGGGTGGTGGTGGTTAGGTGCAATCAGGCCTGCAGGGAGGGAAATTAGGGGTGACCAGACGGGGGGGGGGGGGGGGGAGGAGGGAAGAGGCAGTTAGGGGAGACAAGGCTGGTGGGGGGGTGGGCAGGCGGTGTGATCAGGCCCTCATGCAGAGGTGGTTAGGGGTGATAAGGCTAATGGGGTGTGTGTGTGTGTGTGTGTGTGTGTGTGTGTGTGTGTGGCAATTATGGGCAATCAAATCAGCAAGGCAGGCAAGCAGTTAGGAGCCAGCAGTCCCAGATTGTGAGAGGGATGTCTGCCTGCCGGTTTAGGGTTTAATCCCAGAATTGGGCCGAAACTGACAGTGGGACATCCCCCGAGGGGTCCTGAATTAGAGAGGGTACAGGATAGGCTGAGGAGACTCCTCCCCCACTCCCATGCATGAATTTTGTACACCAGACCCCTAATCAGTTCATAAAAAGCACATTACATGCTCTAGCCGGTTTGACTCAGTGGATAGAGTGTTGGCCTGCAGTCTAAAGGGTCCTGGGTTCGATTTCAGTCAAGGGCCTATACTTTTTTTTTTTTTTAATTTTTTATTTTATTGATTTTATACAGAGAGGAAGGGAGAGAGATAGAGAGTTAGAAACATCGATGAGAGAGAGTCATCGATCAGCTGCCTCTTGCACACCCCCCACTGGGGATATGCCCGCAACTAAGGTACATGCCCTTGACCGGAATCGAACCCGGGACCTTTCAGTCCCCAAGCCGACGCTCTATCCATTGAGCCAAACCGGTCCCGGCAAGGGCCTATACCTTGATTGCAGGCTCCTTCCTGGCCCGGGCCCTATTTAGGAGGCAACCAATAGATGTGTTTCTCTCACATCAATATTTCTCTCTTCCCCTCTCTCCAAAAATCAAAAAAAAAAAAATATCCTTGGGTAAGGATTAAAAAAAAAAAAATAACTCATTACAAAAAAACTCATAATGCTTCATTTTCACATGTGTTGGGTATAAATAAAAGAATACATAGCAAATAAGATATTGGCTGAGGAAAATCCCAAAATAAGTACAAAAAGTGTTATATACAAAATTAGCAATCATACAAGAATTTTAATCTTGTAATATGACTGTATTATGGGAATATACTTATACTTTTAAAAATACATTACATTTGTATATAAATATATTATTTTTAAGTATATATACAAATACTTAAAAATAAATAGATTTGATTTTCAGGATCTGAAAATAATCTTTAGTAAATAAAGGTCCTAAAATACAAAGCAAAAAAATTAAATAAATCTATAGCTAATTATGGGATAAACAAACCATTAAAGAAGACTGGCAAAATACAATTGACTAGAGAACTATAATGGCTACTTTGCTATCCTAAAATTATTCCTATTTTATTTAATCAGAATATTAAAAATAAGGTTATTCTATTATTTATAAATCCATTCACACTAGTAAACAATACCAAATTAGACAAAATCTCTAAAGAAAGTTTCCTGTAAAGATTTAATACTGTATTGTAAAAGTCAAACTATCTAAATTGAAAACAAAATATGAAAATGACATAAGGAAGAAAATAACAAGCATAATGACAGTAGTGTATTTGTAATAGCAGTTAGCAAACAGTGAGCATCATGTGCCAGGTACTAAGTGCTTCCCATCTACTAAGTATTTTAATCTTCACAATAATCTTATAAAACATATATTTTAGCACTTTATATGTGAGGAAACAGAAGCAAAGTGAGGTTAATTAACTTGCCCATCCACAGTCACACAACTATTAAATAGCAATGCCAAACTCTGAATCCTGCTAAACTGCATTAATATTGATGAGTAATGATTGTTTCATCATTATTGAGCAGCATTTGGTACAAGTGGGCAATTTCCACCCTGTCAGCTTAAAAAAAACCCATATATATATTTTATGTTAAATATGTATATGCATATAGATATATGTTTGTGGGTTTTTTTTAGAGAGGAATGGAGGAAATAGAATATCAATAAAAATCCTTGATTGGCTGCCTCTTGCATGCTCACTAGTGGAGATGAAGCCTGTAACCCACAGATATGCATTGACCAGGAATCAAACCAGTGACCTCTTAGTGCATGGGACATTCAACTACTGAGCCACATGGCTGGGCAAAGAAACCAACTTTAAATTGCAACAGAAATGATGATTTTAAAAGCAAAGTATGATGATAGTATTATAGTAAACTCCAAACACTATCTGTAGTATATATTATTTAAAATTGTGGACACTCTGTGTATAATAATATATATTTTTTAAAACAGTGGACAACAGATATCTTTTTTTTTTTTTTTTTTAATTCTCACCTGTGGATACTTTTTCCAATGAATGGAAGTAGGGGAAACACTGATGTGAGACACACTGATTGGTTGTCTTCTGCACGCCCCGCTACTGGGGTGGGAAACCTGCAACCAGGGTATGTATCCTTGGACCAGAAATCTAATCCGACACCCTTCAGTCTCTGGACCAACACTCCAACCACAGAGCAAACTGGTCAGGGCAACAGATATACTTAAATGCTAAGGATTATCAACAAGGTAAGTTTGAGCAGCCAAAAAAATCTGAAAATATAAATATTCTGGGAAATATAAGCACAGATTTATTCAGTAGTGACTGAGACAATAATATCCATGCTTTATTATGTATTGTAATTTAATGTTAATAAACTATTATGCCTGGCCTGTGTAGCTCAGTGTTTGAGCATCAACCCATGAACCAAGAGGTCACCGGTTCTATTCCCAGTCAGGGCATTGCCCAAGTTTTAGGTCCGATTCTCAGTTGTGGGGCATTTCAGACATTATGCTCACTCTACATCCAATTTTTGCTACATTTTCCTATACAAACAGGGCAAATTAAGTTGTTTTAAAAATTATACTGAATAAATTACAGAAATAAAAACATGCCTTAGATTTGAGTGTATGAATTTCAGAATAAAAGCATTAGCTTGACAAAAGAATGAAATTTTCTAGCCACAAACTATCTGTGTTCTTTAAATTTTAGTTTTAAAAAGATTTGCTATGTGGGAAAAAAAATCAAATTTTATGTTAATTTCTTGGTTTAAGGGTTCCATCATTCTACAGATAAAATTTCAAACTCCAAACTGATCTGAAGCTCAAGTCTAGAATTGAATTTTTCAGTGGATATTTCTTTTCTACCTCAAGCCAAGCAAAAGCAGAGAAGCATCCCTGTGATGCCATATAAGGTAGGAGATTTGGAGGGGCTTCTGAGGACTTGTGTTTTGTGTAGAAGTTTTAGATAAAACCTAACCTCATGGTTGCAACATTTTACAAGCGACATAAAGTGAATTGAAAGAGCTTTTATTTGTTTGCAGAATTGTTTATAATATCAGAATGCTCTGTTCAGTAAAGGTTAGACAGGCCTCAGCAATACAAGTTTTAAAAAATAAATTTAATTTTAGAATAACTTTAGATTTGCAGAAAAGTTTAAAATACAATTCACAATTCTCTAATATCCATTACTAAGTTTCTCCTAATGTTAATGCCTTCATTACCATCACACATATAAAAAACAAACAAACAAACAAGCCAATACAGGCACACTAGTATTAACTCCAGATTTTATTTAGTTTCACCAGCTATTTCACTAATATCTTTTTCATTTCAAAATCCAATCCCGGATACACTGCTTTTAATCTGTCTCCTTAGTCTCCTCTTTATTTCCCAGTCCTCTTTATTTCCTTTGTATCCCATAAAATAGCTGGATTTAACCCAATTAGTTTATCTTTTTATTAAATTTATTCAATTTGGTCACAATTATTATAACACCTAATAGACTTTACAGTTTCTTTTCATCTTACTTTATTAGTTGTTAATTTTTACATTTCTATTTGCTTATATTGGACTGGAAAAGAAGTGATCAGTTATTTTGTAGAATGCACCTCAACCTGGGTATTCTTGGTTGTTTTTCTTGTGATTAGACTGAGGCTGTGAGTTTGGGGTCAGAGTATCACCGACGTGAAGTGCCCTTCTTATCACCTATCAGACGGTACATGCTATCAATGTGATTTTTTAACACTGGTGCTGCTAACCATGATCTTTTGGCAAAAGCGGACCGTTTGCCAGGTTTCTCCTCTGAAGTAACTATTTTTCCCTTTCCACGCTCTATTTAGAAGTCAGTCAGTCAGTCAGTCTAGCCTACCAAAGGAGTTAGTTTAGCTACGCTCCACTTCCTGAAGAGGGGGGCCTAGCTACACAAATTTCTTGGAATTTAGTAATAAACAGCTGTCCTCTTCCCCAATTCGTTTTACTGCAGTTTGTAAAATCCTAGGCTAGTTCAATAATAAATATATTCCATTATTTATACAACTCATGAATATTTTTATACTTTAGCTTGTAATCCAGTTGTTTCAGTTTTTGCCTTTGGGAGCTTTTTCAGTTGGGCCCCGTGCTGTTTTGATGTAACCTCATTCCTTTGTGTGTGTGTGTGTGTGTGCTTTTTATTCTGATAAAATATAACAAAATTTACTAAAATATGGAATGCTTAACTATCTGCGTGTCATCCATGTACAGGGGCCATTAAAA